GATTGGGTGCCTATCGGCTCAGGCTAGCTATGTCTACTGGGCAGAAAGCGAGGGCGGTCAAACACGTGACCCGGTGGGTACTAACAGATCTTTGTGGGCACGTGACCAGCGCACGTGCCACTTTTCCGACGTAAAATAGCAACTACTACTACTACTGTGTGTGTGTATTCGGAGGTGGTAGGCTAACAGGCCTAAATAGCCTCTTGGACCGAAGCGAGGGCGGACCCAGCGACACGTGACCCGCCGGGTACTAACAAGCACTTTGTGTCTCGTGATCGTGGCGGTGATGCTAGAGTCAGCCTCGTTCTTAATTTCCATGTATTTCTTTTGTCCAAATCGTGTTATCAAGCACTTGAAAACCAGAGAAGCAACTTCAATAAGCTATGTCCACTATATTGCATATACTCTTGAGCTTTTTCCAACTTGGGCCTCACTATCATTGGAAGAAGGTCCAAGACCACCTGGACAACGCTACACAAAGTCAGTTTTAACTAAGATATCCCTTTTTATAGCAAGAAATGCAGATACTAATACAATTTAACCTAGACTCTGTTCTGAATGACCTACGAATAGCTCTCTTACCAAGAACCCGGCAGATTCAACATCTGCAGACATTATTTGACGCTTCATGCATCAAAGATAAAGGAACCCAAGAGTACTGTAAGAACACTTCTCCATGACTCTGTCATATCGCAATATCTGAACAAAATCGGCATATAAGACTGGACCCAAGAAAGTCTACAAAAGTATATAGAAAAGGCCCACCCCGATGCCAGCTTCTCAGAAAGCGAGATTGCACTTTTGTGGCGATGCTTTTATTTCTCTGCCTATCACCCATTCCCAACTTCTTCTGAAATTGACGCCAAGATTGACCAAGATGCATTCGAGCGCGCTGTAACATTACTAGCAGCACAAGGAACCGATCTTCTAGGCACGTTGGAGGAAGGAGATTATTTCTGGTGCTCTGACAAGGACGCTACTTCCTTCCACATGGCTAGCTTTGACAGGGTAGTCAGGAGCGCGACCTGTCCTTATCATGGTTATTCATGTTTATCTGCATCCATCGTGGTCGATGTGATGGATGTTTTGGCCATGACGCAGCCTCAAAATGTGAACTTCACTCCATCTGCGGATCAGCTTGAGCCTGTAGCCCGAAAGCTTCTTGATGAAGGTCCTACTAGGAGGTGTCGTTGCCGGGCTGCTACTAAAGATTTGTCAATGCTCCTAAGTATTTTGCTACGGATGAAACTCGAAAAGGCCAAATGGGGTCTTGGTTTTCATTTTGGGGGCTTTGACAAGGCTAATTCTAAGAATGAGAAACTTGCCAGAATTATGGTAGAGGACATAGGTCTGCCGATGGATTTTCATCCCAGCACAATGGATCTGCTGGTAAGTCCAATTGACACTTCATCGGGCATATCTGACTATTCCAGCCAAACCTACCGCTACGATTCCACCAGCTCTGGGCTGTTCTATTCCAACCACCGAAGACCACAAACAACCAAGTACCAGAGACAACAAAAGCGCCAAAAGAAATACCTGCACGAATCCTTCGAGCTATTTCATTATTCATCCCTCAACAGCAAACCCCCATCCGCTCGCAGACAGCATCCGCAGATATGAGGATTGCTTTAGATCCAATTACACAGGGATCAGATAACGTGCGCGCATCATTCTTCAAGCTTCCCGTAATGACACCATGCCCATTTCTCATGCTCTTCACTGGGGACGATGTGACATCCTCGACATCAGAAACAGTCTTTGGGGCTTGGTTCGATCCCAAAGCCATTTCGCATATCCTTTTCCAGCTGCAGCCACAGTTCCATCTTATTCGATGGAATGGTTCTCAGCCGTTACATCTTATGGAAATTTTCAGTATAGAAAATGGAGATCCTTGGTCGAGCGATGGAGCTTATCGAATTGGTCATCCAGGGGGTCGGAAGACTGGCTTATGGGTTGATCCGGTGTGTCAAACGGCAACGTTGAAGTATTGTCTCGGTGAAGGGTATGAAGACGGCTCGGGTGAGGGCGCTGAAAGTCTAAATGTCAGTGTTAGGGCTTGTCGGTTCAGCGTCTTTCGCGTTCTTGAACGTGTGTGATCAGGGATACTTGGTTTAGTGACATATCCCAAGCCACAATTCTGTCCAGTGTGTACACGCAAAGTCACTGCAAGTTGTTGCTATCATAAAGGGTCATAAACTAACTAGTACTCGAACACCGCCATATCAATCAGTAAATATACACAAACTCATCATTCTCCCGATCCGTCAGGTCCAAAAACGCATTATCCCCAATCTGCTGCTCCCGATCCTCCCGATCCTCCTGATTTCCCTCCTCTTGATATTGATCCATCATCGACCGATCAACCATCTTAGCAGGCTTCCCGTTCCTCACCCTCCGACGCTCCTGCATTCTATTCAAAACAACAAGGTTACCCCACTGTATAAGTACCACAGCGACCAAAGCCACAAAGATCCCCAAACACGCCCGGAGACCAGGATGGTAGGCCGGGGCGTCTTTTTCACTGAATAGTAAGGGTCCGACGATATTCCCCGCCGAGGTAGCCGCGTTGAAGAGACTCATGACGATGGATTTCTTCGTTGTGCCCGCGGTGTTACCCACGATCCAAGTGACGATTAGTGGATTTCCACCGAACAAGAACGCAAGCAGATAATATCCCGCCAGCAAAGCACCCTGCACAGACTGCGTCCTTGGAATAGCATAGAGAATAGCCAACCCCGCAACAACAGGAAGCATAAACGCCGCCAGAATCGCTGCCTTAAGCCGAGCCTTCTGCGCCAGGTAACTCGCGACCAAAATCACAATCAACTGCAACGCCCCGAACGGCATGTTGAGCAATGTAGTTTCGTACTTGTCGAACCCGAGGCCGCTGAGAATAAGCGGGCCAAAAACATTGGTCACACTTGCGCCGATGTTCAGTAACATGGCCATTCCGATCCAGAGGTATGTTTTCGGCTCAAGACCTGCTTCTGCAACATGCGTCATGCGGAACTCGCGGTTTCCTGTACCGGTTTGGTTTGCTCGGAGGCGTTCCATTGCCTGCGGTTTTTCTTCTTCTGTTAGGAAGCGTGCGGAGGGGATGTCGTTGTCGAGTTTCCAGTAGATGAAGGGGGCGGTTATTACTGTCACCAGGCCGACGAAGAGGAATATACTGTGACCACATGAGATGGTATTGCTGATTCTGAAGGGTGATACTTACATCTGCCATGGAAATAGTACATGCGATTTAATATGGCCCAGTCCGTACGAAAGAGCCGCTGCAACGACTGTCGCAGCACCATTGGTGCTATACCAAGCAGCAATGCGCAAAGGCTGCTCAGCGCGACGATACCACTGGCTAGTAATAATGCTGAATAGCGGAAGACAACCGGCTTCGAAGAGGCCGAGGAGGAATCTATCAACAATTAATCAAACTATCCTTTTTCAAAACTCGACAAAAACACATACCTAGTAGCTATCAACCCCCCAAAATTATGACACGCCGCCATCGCCGCTTGCGCAACCCCCCACCCAAAACATAACACCGGCATAAGAATCCGATGCGGCACCTTCACAATCAAAAACGACGAGAATGGCTGCCACGCAAGTTGGGCAATCGGCGCAATCGATCCGATAAGCGAGTATTGGTTCCCCGTGAGATGTGCATCTTCTTGCATGCCGAATGTGGCTCCATATCCTAGGACCGTTTTATCCAGGATCTGGAGGAAGTAGACCCAGATTAGGATGAGGAGGATGACGCGGTCGGTCTTGCGGCGGATGCGCTTGCTGTCTTCTTCGGTGAGAGGGATACGGACGAGGCTTGTGGGGTCTATATTGGGGGGTTTTATGGGGGGGTTGTTTTCGTGGTGGGTTGTTTGGGGTTTGTTTGCCATGGTATGCAATATATTGGATTGCGGTAGAGTAGTGGTATGTGAAAAGTTATGGTTAAGCCAGTTTATATACAATCACAGGACTTATCAACTCCTCATGAACAGACTTGAATCTCTCAGATCGACAGCGAACCGTGCGACACTCCCGCCAGAGTAGGGCTTCCCCGCAAAGTCACCCCCACGCCCCCCGGATTCCCAGATCCGGGGAGGTTTGACAGCACCCCCACGTTTTTGACCTCCGATGCGACCTGCAAACATATTGAGGTTGAGAATTGATTATCCAGACATTACACATCCTGCGTGCCAAGTACCAACGCATCCATGGCATATGGTGATATCGATCGCTGCCCGGACTCTGGTAAGTCCCCTGGTATAGCTATTGTTAATGGGATGACCTTGAAACAATTGCATCACCAATGAGCCCACCAGGTTCTCTTTTGGAGGGGACGGAAAATGTGCAGCAACTACGGAACCAAGAAAAAGAAATGTTAGGAAAGAGGGGAAGAGGGGAAGAGGGGAAGAGGAGAATTGTATGCTGTATATATGTGATTCATTTATAGCCTTAGCCAGCATCCTCGAGTGATAATTCAAGGCCATGCCATACAGCGTGGGGTCAACATACCAAGTCAATACGAAAATCATTTTGCCAAGAAAAACGACCAGAAAAACGACTGCAAGGAAAAGTCAAGAATGCGAAAAAAATTAAAATTAAAATTAAAAAAAGAAATAAAGAAAGAAAAAGAAAGAAAGAAAGAGAAAAGAAAAGAAAAAATAAAAGAAAGGAAAGGAAAAAGAAAAGAAAGGAAAGGAAAGGAAAGGAAAGGAAAAGATCAGATCAAGCATATAGAGGACAGTGTTACTTGGTGCTCTTCTTCTGTGTCCGTTGTGGCAACCCTCACTACCCTTCCCGGTCATTAGCTAGTAAACCGTCGGCGAATGTATTTGTCTGTGCCAAAAGTTTTGTTGAGGCCATCCCGTATTTCTTTCGTCTTCCATGTCATACGCTTTCTCAGAGCGCCTGTGAGTAATGCTAGACCTGTAATATCTGGAGATTCTGCGTCAGTGGGCTCGTTTCTTTCTTTAGCTGGTCTCTTGTAGCCGTAGACGGCTTGGGGGGCAATATGGGGGCTCCTGGATTTTCTGGACTGTAGGCAGATCACCACTGGGTGGTCAAAATCGTGCCTAAACCACTTAGCATTATTCTTGACGCACTGTGTCAAGGTCTCATGCTTCCCAGCCAGTTGTCCAATTCTCGTGGTGATGTGATTGATTCCCACCGCTTCAGTCTGGAGACTTAGCTTTCGTGCAAGTACAATAGTATGATTAGAGCAAAATTTCTGTCGTCGTTGTTCCTCAGTCCCCTTTTGTACGTTCCGGAGCAGGACAATACAATCGCTTAATTCCTTTGGATGAAAATCTTCAACCTGCTCAATCAAGCCTGAAGATACAAATTTGCACTTGCATGCAGGGTCTTCCGGCTCTGGTTGAGCACTGGCAATTCCTATGCGTGATGTCGGTCCATTGCTCGGTCCATTGCTGCGCGTGGTGGTGTCCTTGCAATTGACTTAAGTTTGGTCGCTAATTGCATTGGTGTATGTCCACCTATTCTGCTCGGCTGCGAGTTCACTCTCTTGCTGCGGTCGTCACTGTGGTTGACGATCGGCTTGGGTGCACCAGCGGTAAGGTTTACCCGCAGTGGTGCAGGTCCTATGGTGCTTGTGTCAAGCTTACCTGTATTCTTTGGGTTCACGATGAGTTGGCCCCTAGCGTCACCGCCTGGGACCTTTATTGACGCAGCCAAATGCGAAATAAAAGCTAATGTCGAGATACAAGCAAGAGTGCCTGTGCAATGGTGGCGAATGAATGCATGACCTCTATCTCCCACCTCCAATAATCAATCGACACCCTTAGAACTCGGCTACTCGTGGAAATAAGAGGGATTCGGTGGTTTTATGCTGAAGTCCTGAGATTTGAGCATAATCCACGCGCTTTACAAAACCCGAGTGATTATCTCAACACCAAGACTCGACTCGAAGATGCTAACCCTAAAATTTTCCGACTGTTTCCCCCTCACTAGGCTGCAGTAATCGGTCAAAGGAGTTTGCCGACTTACTCAGCGTCAACTACAAGAGCCTCCATTACAAACTCATCGGAAAATTTCATGGGGCAGGCCATAAGCCCCAGCACCTGGAGAAGGAAGAGGTCTTGACAGCTGTTGCTGGTAACGAGATATTGAGAGCGGAAGGCGGCTGATTATACAAGTTTTTGGATGTGGTTCTAGGTGGTGAGTGTTAGAAGGGTTATTCAGGGGTGTGTCTAAGCATTCTTGCTCTACATTGTGACTAGCTAGAGTATTTCTGGGTATCCTCATGAATGCAATAGGAGCAGTATATTGTCTTTGCCTCTAAACAAGCATACTTATACTAACTGCTCACACTAAAATCGGCCAGCCAATCCCCTTTTTTCTTGTAAGGTATAACAAAAGGTACACAAATCACCAGCTTATAGCAAGTCCATAGGGTATAACAATAACGACAGCCCGGTATGTAATTCATCAATCAAAACGAAAACGCTGAACAAGTCGTGTGCAAGTACGAGTGATGTCAGGTAAGCAAGTAATGCGTTGTTGTTGGTCAAAAAGAAGGAGTCCAAGAACCAAGAGATGCGGTACGAGTGAAAAGAGCACAAAAGGAGCAAGTGCAAGCGGTCGAGGGTTTTAGTGTTCCTTGTAACCGTGAGCATAACATTCAACCAAGACAACAGAAGCGACGCACTTATCCATCTTCTTCGCCCCAACAAACCCTCACCCTTCTTCCGATCAACACGTTTCTCCTTCTCCTACAACCTCGACGGTGGACATGGCTCCTCTATATATAACTGAAGCAGCGGAGCAACTTGTCATCACTAAAATAGAACAATTATGTGTCGCCCTTTCTCGGGGTGTTGCTGTCCATAATTGGCAGAAACGGAAGATGCAATGGTCCGCCTGTAACGGTATCGGTCGCGCGCGAGATCTCCATGCGCTGAGCGCAAAAGGCGCTTTCGGGGGACACGATAGTTTGCTTTTCCATAGGCGGCGGGGTGTTCTCCTGCTGTAACTTCGACACAGTCTCTGGACTCAGTGGGGTTGGTGTACCGATCGGGGCGAGTTGCCATCGCTCTAGAACGACCTTCCTTGTTGCCTTGCTTATCGATAGAATCAGAACAACCCGAATATCCCCACCACTGTTCGCAAGCCACCACTCAGCGTCCTTGTGCAACCTAGGAAGCGATTCAGATACTCCTGTTTCAAGAACCAAGCTCGGTCAAGGATGAGGTGCTCCATGCTCAGGGCGTCGTGACGGTGAATATAGACACCCATCAGGCATTTTTGATTTACTAGACACAGTCTTCTCGTGTGTCGTAGTAGAGCCCCATTGGTATTCATCCCACGAGTAGCCCATCCGACTGATACTATCAGGAATCATCGACCGCATATTTGACGTCGGGTAACCATGGTGCCCCGATGGCACAATTTTGATGAGCATGGCATTCCCGTCCCGTATGGTTCTGAACTGTATCCCCCCCAGAACAGCCTTGTCCGTTTCGAACCTTTCAGCTGCATCAGCCGGAACATTAAGCAACACAATGAATTGGTTCCCCCCGTGGTTGCGAGCAAGTCCGTCTAAAACCTCCTGGGCGGCAAGTTGGAGGTGTTTGATGTCCTTGTAGGGTCGTGTTATGCAATCGTCTGGCAAGTTCACCAGGGGTCCACACCCCGATTGCCTTTCTATGGTTCGCGTCTGAAGCGCTGGCGACGCAGAGGAGTCTACTTAACTAATAGCTTGGAACAGAGACATAAACAGGGTGGAGGGGCGAGAAAAGAGCAGTCTGCCTCTCCGAGCAGTCAGGGGAGGAAAGAGCAGCCTCTCCAGGCAGTCACGGGGAAAGTCACTGGACATTGAAAACTCACATATAGAGCGACACCAGGAAGTGATGGAAAGAATAAATCGATGAAAATTAGAATGTAGAGAAAAATAAGTGTAGCAATATATGTTGGTGTAGAGAGAATTATTTCTCCACCAGCCATGTCCTCAGAAGTGATGTCAATTAAGGTCGCTGATTGATGTTCTCATGTGATGATGTGAGAATGCTATCTTTGGCCATTCTCTGGGTCCTGGCTCGGGGGAAACGGTTGATCTTCAGCCGGAACATGCTATATACTTTTTTCTTTGTTCGTTTTCGTTTTCAACGGTCCATGTATTTTCACTAAATAGTATGATTGCTGCATATTAAACTTGTCTGTGGGACACACAACCATCGTGGTATCTACCTGGAAGATCAAGGTGAAAGTCACCACTCTGTTCCAGCTTTACCTTCAAATTATAAGTTTAATAAATAGAATAAATACCCATGCTTGGGCCTTTGTCCGTCAGCGTAGAGAAGTCGGGTACTTTTTGCTGAAGTTTCGGGACTTAGGCGTTGTAGCTAAACGGACATCTTCGGGTTATTGGTACAGATAGTAACTCCTAATTCAGAAAGGAATAAATCACTTGATTTCTTGTCTATTAGTTTGGTAGACTATCCATAATCAAGTGTCTTGCTGGTGTGCTGAGGGCGAGCTCTGACTGCGGACTCGCTTCTTCGCCTCCAAATCAACGCCCAACCAGAGCAGATCCGGCCGACTGTAGTGGCCACACGAGTCGACGAAACACCGGGTCTCGAGTATTTTGTCTGTATTGACTTCGGCGATAACAAGATTCTCCTCGTGTTCGGGGAGGTCGTCTGTGAGTTGTCTGCCATCGGGGCCAAAGATTGCGGATGATCCGCCTCCTGGAACGTTCATTAAAGAACCATCGCCAGTTCCCATTGTTTTGATGCCTTTCTCGGATATTAGGGAAGTCGTATGGATTACGAAAGTTGATGACTCGATGGCATACGTCTGAGAGAGGATACGAGTTCCTATTCGAAGAAGACAAGCCATCAGCAAACCGAAACATTACTATGCTCCCCAAAACAAGTAACTTACCTTCCCGCGACATACTAAAAAACTCCGACCCCCCAGAATGATGATGCACCGGCGGCCACGCAGCCACATGAAACAACTCCCGCTGATGAAAAGTATGATACTTCAACAACGGATTAAGATGCTCCCAGCACGACAGCGCGCCTACCCTCCCAACACTCGTATCAACCACATTCAACAACGAATCCCCCGTGCAATCCCCAAAGATGGTACGTTCCATATGCGTGGGTTTAAACTTGCGACGCTTTGCCTTGATCTCTCCATCGTCGGTTATAAGGCACTGCGCGATGTAGAGAGATCCGTGGTCGTTTTCTGAAAATCCCAGAGCGACGTTGATTTTGTTTTCGAGCGCGCAGGTGCGGATTTTCTCTATTTCGGGGGAGTCGTAGCGTAGGGAGTTGCGGATGTATGCGACGGATCGCTCCATGTCGACTGGTCTGGTCCTATATCTCCGTATCAGTATATGCTACACTGCGCAGGACAGGCTTGTTCTTACCATATCCAAGCCGGATACCCTGGTATCCAACATTCAGGAAAGGCAATCAACCGTACTCCCCGCTGAGCGGCGTCTCGGATGAGAGAGCATGTCTTGTTGACTGCAGCTTGTAGATCTAACCATTCTGGTTCTGCTTGTACAGCTGCAACGAGGATTGTCTGGGTGTCCGATTCCGCCATGTTGCTTTCTTTGAGGGATCACTTCAACGATCGAGGGGGGAAAGGTGAACTTAAAAGCAATGACAGCACTAATGCATACGATACAGAGTCTAATTTAGTGTCTGAAGCATCGCCCACGGCGGAATGCATTCCGTTACTCTGTACTTTGTACTACCAGCCAGAATAAGGTGAGTGAAGTATATGGTAATTGCAGTTGCGGATCCCATCCGCCAAATCCCGAGGAAAATAGGTTATCTCCCCATTTCGGAATAACGGCTTAAGTTACTATTGAGAGTGAGGGGGTGTCGTACCCTTCTTGTTCATCCGCTCCAGGAGGCCGAGCGGAATATACGTTGCGTATCGCATGTTTCCGGATGAATGAACAATGCGCGAAGCATTGTAGTAAGGGTCCTGGATTGGAATTGGAGTGATAAATCAAGAAATCCAAGGACCAACAACAAGTAGTTATTCAATGCAGTCGAGTGGGTTGTGGTGTGTGGTTGTCGTCCATACAGCTATGCGACAGTAGAATTATGTGGGCCGACTATAGTTATGGCTTATAAGACACTACCTGGTAGCCTCATTCAACAAGCCCAGCCGGGCTAGCTCAATCGGTAGAGCGTGAGACTCTTAATCTCAAGGTTGCGGGTTCGACCCCCGCGTTCGGCTTCTCTGAAGACGATCACGATTGATCACTTTTTTTTGTCTTTTTCCTGGACAATTTTTTTCATCCTAGTCTTTTTTTTTTGTGCTCGCCAGGTAGACGCAAGGCCGCTCAAATCGCATCATTCAAATGATGTGCCAACGTCAAGTAAATATATTCAAGAAAGATAAATATATGTAAACGAGCTCGCCAATCAATATCCCACGAAGTAAATAAAGCGCAAAACGCCGTGCTATGCAATGGCCCAAACAATCATAGCAATAAACGCCGTTCAAAACACCAGATCACCAAGTCACCGGCCATTCGCCGCGAACACAAGCGGAACCCCGGTAGAGATTTGCTATACAAACCGAACAAAAAACCAAACTATACCTGCGGTTGACCAGTAGTAGTATATACACCCTCAAAATCCAAACCATCCAACATCCCATTAACGCGATCAATTTCCCGACTAAGATCCTCGCTATTCACAGCAAGACTGCTCACCTCGTCGAACTTGCGACGACGGTTCGCATCGGCAATCATCTCGGAAACGAAGAACTTCTGTTCTTCCAGTACAATAAGTCGATCGCGAAGAGACTTTTCTTCAGCTTCCATTGCCGAGATAGCACTGCTTGTCTCGCTGGTTACGCTGCTGGTGCTGCCGTTGGCCGCGGGGTTTCCGTATTTAATAGATGCAAGAGCGGATTCGTGTGGTCGGTGGCCATTGGCGGGAGAACTGCTAGGGGCGGGAGAACTTGTGGCGCTTGGTAGGCGGCCATTAGGTATTGCGTGTTTGAGGATCTTGGGTAGGGATTTCAGAGGAAGCATATGAAGGTGGAGGAAGTTGCTGGCTTGTTGGTAGACGGCCTTTTGGAGGCATTTTTGCGTAATGGAATCAGTTGGCATGTCGCGGATTCGTCTGGCCGCGACGTCATATTGGGAAAAGGAATCGATAAGTCGCTTGCGGACTTTGGAGGCATCTGCTATTTGAGCGGCCGAAGGTGGCCGTCTCGAATCTCTGAACCGATGTTAGAGAATATGCGATTAAGCATGCAACGGGTATACTTACTGTAGAGCTGCCAGAAGTTTCTGAAACTTTGGTAGCAAGATTCGAATGCCTCTTTCGAATTGCGTCAGATTCTCGTATGCTCTCAGGTCTGGAGGTTTCCGCAAAATATCTGCCTCAAAATCTCGCTGATTGAATAGGGTTGCTCTGCATTCCTTGCAGAGCCTAATATCGACATCAATTAAACCCATAGTACCTTTCTCCGCAGGCACCCTCGACACTACAAGAGTCAGCACAACACTCCACCTCCTGCAAGAATACTTACTCGGTGCAACGCTCAACGGTACTTCCGTGGAACATCCCGTCATCGAATCACCGCAAACAACTCGCCCGCAAGTCCTGCAGTGGTGTCTCCGAAAAGTATAAGCGGAAAAGTCCTGCTGGCAAAAAGGACACCTGGGAACGCTCGCATCGTCTTGCCAGCTGACGATCGTCTGCTCAAGGGCCTTGCGTTGATCGTTCTGCCACGATATCGACCAAAGCTTGTTCCCCCCGGACTGGATCTGCTCCAAAGGCAGACTGGCCAGCAGTTGAGTGAGTCGTGTCAAGCGTTTCTCTAACCGAGACATTTCCAGCGTAGATTTGTCGACGACTGGCTTTCGCATGGCCCGGAATGCGTCGGTTTGATTCCTTACCAAGCCTGTATTGCATCAGCAACCTATTCCCAAATATGAACGAAACCGGCATACCGTTATGATCATTATACCCCTCCCGCGACTTATAACAAGTCTCACAAACCCTAGACCACAATCCCCTAACCGGCTCATGCTGCGCAGACCTCGACAACTTCATCTGATACATAGTATGCTCCTCACAAAACAACTTCCCACACTTCCGACAATGCACACACCCATTCGTCGCATTCAACTTCTTCCCGCACATCGGCTCCAAACAAATATCATTAAACGTCCTCGGCTGCCAATGCTCCTTTGTAATCACATCATCCGGATCCAACGGCCTCGGACCACTATCAGGAACCGAAACGGGTACGGGTACTTGCGAAGAAGAAGAAGCAGCAGCAGCGGGAGCGAGGGGCCGACTGGAGGGTCCTGCGAGGGATGGTTGCATGTTCTCGTTCGATTCGAAGACGTCTAGGCCTTTGAGTTTCTGGTTTAGGACGGCGAGTGGTTGGAAGCGTTTTGCTTTTTCCATTTGCACTTTGAACCAGTCTTTTACTTCGTCTTGGCGGTCGTCTTCGAGGTTTTGGTGGACGTCGTCGAGATGCCTGTAGATCCGGGGAGGGTATGTTAATCACTGTCCAAGCGCGGGGAAGGGGATCCAGGAAAGGAATGTACCTATTCAATTGCAGTAAAGTCACCTACAACAATCAGCATCCTAAAATAAAAACCAACAGTCCATGGGAAAAAAAAAAAAAAAAAAAAAAAGGAAACATACCATCTCCTCACTACAAATCGGACAAGCAAGCTGCGCTCCAGCCGCCGCCGGGGCCGCCGATATCGAAGTATCACCATTCTCCAACGAAATCCTCGAAATCAAATCCTGGCTTTCCGCCGACGAGAACTGCGATGCGGATGCCTGCGACCCGAGAGAAACGCTGCTGGCGGATGGCGACAAAATCCGAGCAGCACCCTTGGGCTGCTGCTGCTGTTGTTGTTGCGGAGATGATGAGGCCGCGGCGGAAGTGAAAGCGTTCGCATTGCCCAGGACACGACCACCACCCAGCGTCCTTAAGGGCATGATTAGGATTTTTATGGGAGCATGAGAAGCTGGTGGTGGGGGGAGAAGGGAGTAATTTGGGAAGTAGAAAGAAGGTGGTGAAGATGGGGCCAGCGAGAGGGGAGCTGACGGAACAAGGAGAAGGCGGCGGCGAAAGGCAATCATGGGGTTGGCGCCTAATGATTCCTGAGGCAGAAACCAGCCAATAGTAACTATACGAAAAAATGGATTTCTACGAGAAAATGCAATTGTAACCTGTACATGAATTTTTTATGCAATCTACTAATTATTTACATGCTAATATATCATCATATCATACCAAACCATCATGTCACAATAACTTAAGTGTACCACGAAGGGGTGGGGATCTCGTTGGTCAAGTAGTAACGGCCCAGCTCGTTCTCCTTGTAGGCCAACGGGTCGTGCAGGGTGTGCACACGGATGTCCTTCCAGAAGCGGTCGAAGCTGTACTTCTCAGAGGTGGAACGAGCACCGGTGACCTCGAAGACACCACCGGTGACCTCGAGGGCCATGTGGGAGGAGGTGATCTTGCAGGCGGTGACGGACTCGGCGACCTCACCACGCTGGCGGGCAGTCAAGTCCAGCTTGTTACCAGCGTAGCCGTGGAACAGGTCGGAGATCTCCTTGCCAGCGACGTCGCAGAGAGCGTCGGCAGCGCGGATGGAGGCGAGGTAGCGGCCGTACTTGGCGAGGATGTAGTGCTCGTCGAGGGCGCTCTTCTGGGGGTTGTGGGTGAAGGGCCAGGGGCGGGTGGTGGTGGTGGTGTAGCCCTTGGCGGTCTGGAGGGCACCGCGGGCGATACCGTTGTAGAAGTTGGAGAAGACGAGCTGGAAGATGGGGCCCAGGAGGGTCTCGTAGGGGGACTCGAGGAGCTCCTTAATGGGCTTCTTGGCCTCGACGTCGAAGCCAAGGGCGTCCTTCCACTCGAAGGGGATCTCCTCGATCTTGCAGGAGCCCGACTCGGTCAGACGCATACCCATGTTGTGCCAGTTGTAGGCGAACTGGAAGCCGGGCTGCTTGGTGGGGACGATGGTAAAGATGTGGTCGTTGGTCTCCATGTGGACACCCTCGAGGACGATGAGGTCGGAAAGAGCACCGCCGGTGGTGAAGTTCTTGAAACCGTTGAAGACGAGACCCTCACCGTTGGGGGTGATGCGGCTGTCGTTGTCACGGGGGTTGACGGCAGCACCGACGAAAGAGTTGGTCTCGAGGATGGTCTTCTCCCAGCGCTCCTTCTGTTCCTCGGTACCGATAACGCGGGTGAGGGAGGACCACTGCAAGTGGTAACCCAAAAGCATACCAACGGAGCTGTACAATCAACCTCGTTAGCCTCAATTCATGGTCCCCAAAGTATAGGGGATTGACCTACCCATCGCCAGTAGCGAGCTCACGGATGGCACGGAAAGCAACCTCCCAGGTCTGGCCACCACCACCGTACTTGGGGTCACCGAGGATCTTGGTCAGACCGGAGCTCTTCAAGAGAGAGACCTCAGCGTGAGGGACCTTCTGCTCGATGTTACGGGCGGCAGCGTCGGGGGCAAGGATGCCAGCGACCTTCTGGGCACGCTCAACCCATCCGGCGGGGGAGGTAGGGAGGCCCTCAGCGGCGAAGGCATCGTGGTGAGCCTGGTAGACAGTGGGGTCGGAAGCGGGAGGAGCCATTGTGATTAACTAGTAGATGTTGAATGTACGGGGGGTATCTAACAAGTTAAGAATGAAAGATAGTGAACAGGAAAAGAATGGTTAAGAAAACGAGCAACCCCTCGTTTATATAGACACAACTCCCCTCCTCCCTCTTCGGGGATGTGGAACAAATCGATTTCCTCAATGGGGCATTTTCTGCGTTTCCTTTATTTCCACGCCGCGCTTTCGGTTCGCCGCACACTGTATACTGGCCAATTAGGGCTTGCGATTTCTCGGGGACCAACGAAGCTTGCCACGTTCGGTATAGTTCCGTGGATCATTACCGGGATGGCAAGAAAAAAAAAAAAAAGATTTTGATGGTTCCGAATTGACGGTCTCCTGTCAAGTATCTTTACTATGTACATTCATTTACATTGGATGGAGGATATATAGCATTGTGAATTGATGATAGACGAGCAATTGACCACTATACAGTGCTAAAGTACATATTCTGTACACAGTACAAGCAGGTGGGATGTAGAGGGGTCATGCGATGAGGCATACGATGAGGGGCCAAGGGCCATTCCGAGTCGGACCCGCTAAGAGCAAAATTTTACCGCTGGGAGTACACTTTGATTGGACCAGCGGCAGATAATTCGGTCGGTTTCGATGCCAGATGCCAGAAGGTTCGAAGTTTTGTTACCGCGGTTCCGCGTTAGCCACCTAGAGGAGGGTACTTAGGATGATGCACTGCGCTATAAGTGGTATCGCATAGGTGCTATGCTATGCAATAACAAAGACATTATGCGATATACAACACAACAACACAGCTGTACGGAGTGCTGTATAAAAGTATATGGATATCTTTACGTGCACACCCCGGAGTCCATATGAAGCGGTGACAAGACAGAGAAGAAATAACCAGCACAGTGCGTGTCCCGAAACCGAAGATACCCGCCAACCAACAAGACCACTGATTCGGTGAGCAGCGCCCATTCAACTGTGGCTAGTGTCTCTATGGTCCAATCAATGCCCATGCCATAGTACAGTCAGTGGAGTCTGCGACAGTGGAATCTCTGGAGAGCGGACTATGCCGGACTCGGTTAGAGGTGTGGCGTGTATTGAAGAATTTGAATGGATGCCCTCGGACGAAACGGGGCGGTCCTCAAGGTTAATTGAGGCTTTTTCGAATCGAAAAGGTACGAATCGCCGGGGAAACGTGCATTAGCCACGGGTCCACTACTATATACTCTGGGTATGTAGTTAGTTAACTAGTTACTCAATACGCTGTATAAGTACGTTTAACTGCTTATACATGAGTATCTACAAAGATGTCCATACTGCTAACAAAGTAATACATAGATATGGCGTGCTATGTGCATATGTAGCCATGCAGGTACCGCTTACTGGAATCAAGCATTTACCCTGGTATGCCGTGATCCATGCATAACTAAACAAAAGCAGCCATTGGTTGATATCAACGACAAGACTCGGCCTGTCCCGCTATCAATATGGATATAAATGGGTCATAACGATCGTGATATTTCTATGCAACTCGCTAAGTAACTAAGTAACAAAAGACTGGTCTATACAAGTAACAAGCAAAAAGCAAAACAATCAAAACTTTTCTCAAAACAAAACACAACACTTTTTTTTTGTAGATTTTTCTTTTCCACTTTTTTTTTCTTTCTGTTTTAGACGCTTTTCCGTCTTTTTTTGTTATCCTTTTCTCTTTTTAAACCTTTTTGCTGATTTTCAATCCAATCCCATATATATAATCTACCACCCATTAGTTAACGATCCCCCCATCTAACCTTCTCATCCTCCCCAAACGCCAAACCCTTCTCATTCCCCTTTCCCCTAGAAAACCAAACACATTACCGCTCAAAATCCCGATGATAACTCGTCCCCGTATTCGGATTATCATACTCCCTATGCACTCTCGTACTCCCATCATCCCGTCTATCCACATCCCGATGCCGATACGTCCCACTCGGATTCACCCTCTCCCGATGATGTCTCTGACTCCCATCCGTCCGATAATCCATATGCTGGTCGTACGCGCCCGTACTAGGATCGTACGCAGTCGTCCCATATCCATTATCGTAAGTTGCTGTCCCGTAGGTATTATCGTAGGCGTTGGGCCCGTAGCTGCTTCCGTAGCCTGTTGTGCCGTAGCCGGTCGTGCCGTAGCCTGTTGTTCCGTAGCCGGTTGTGTCGTAGTCACGGGCTGTGGTGCCGTAGCCGGTTGTGCCGTAGGCGGTGCCTGTGTTGTCGTAGGTTGTGTCATAGGTGTTGCCGGTTGTGCCGTAGGCGGTGCCTGTGGTGCCGTAGGTGTTTGTGTCGGTGTAGTCGGTCATTTTGGTTGTGTTGCGATTTTTTTTTTTTGGGGGGGGGGTTTTTTGTGGTTTTTTCAAGTTTTTGCTATTTTTGGTTTATATCTTGAAAATGAATAAATGAAACGAAGTGAGAAACGTTTGTGGAAGTTGCCTTTCCTATTAAATCAAAGCTGGCCAGTTTTGATCTGCTATCCAAAAACCAACTCATCAAGCAACTCTCATCCTCCTTATATCCCCATATTCTCCCGTGACGGTCTTGCCTTAGGGCACGAAGTGATACCTATGACCCCGACTGACATCACACGGGCGATTCGACCAGCGGCAAAGCTGCACCGTGACTGGGCCGGGAATCCAGCCCTAATATTTCTGTGCATTCCAGCCCGGTTCTAGGCCGTCTCCGCGTTTTGCTTTTCCGGGGGGCGGGTGGTGCTGGGATTCCAGTCCAGTCGGTGTCATAAGAGGTAGAGCCACCACCACCGGTGATGGGAGTCGTCATGGGGTTCTTTTCTTTCGTTGATTGAATAGAGGCGAATGGATTCTGTAATTTGTGGATTGAGTTCTTCTTGTTTCTGATGCTGATAGTAGAGGATCAAAGGATTACGTTCCCGCCATCAAGTATGCCCAGAACTGCATATAAGAAATGAAAATGCTGGACCACTATTCACTAAAGCAATATTTCCACATCAATATCTGCAGTCTTCCCACTCTATAGAAATCTAAATCATCATTCACCCCAACAAATAGATACTCTAGCAAATACAAAACGATCCATAGATATCTAATTTAAACCTTCCTCTGCCTCTCCTTCTCCGCCAAAGCTTGCAACTCCTCCATCGCCTTCCTAGTCTTCTCCCTCTGCAACTGCTCCGGTCTCCGCAAAGCAAGGTCCTTGGGCCGGAAGTCACTGAAGAAATGCTTCAGCACCTTCTCAATCACCCAGCAGCCTGCGTAGTCGAAAACCATGAGGACGGTCAGAGTAAGCTTGAACTCTGTGCTGAAGGGAACCAGACGCAGTTTCTCGTTGACTTCGGGGATGAACTCCGTGGCGCAGGAGAAGGCGACGCCGGAGGCGGCGACGAGACCCCAGTACATGGCTTTGTTTTCGCGGATGGACTCGCGGAAGGGACGGCCTTGGTAGTTGATGGAGAAAGTCGAGATTTGCTGGATGAGCTGTAGGAGGTAGATGGCGCTGTTGAGGAGGGATGGCTCGAATTCGCCTTCGAGGTCGATGTCGTTTGATCTTCTGTGGAATTGTTAGCGTGCTATACCGTGATTTTGTGAGGGAAAGACATACGGCTCAATAGAGTAGACGTAGTTCGACAGGTAAATCAAAGTAGCAATGTGAATGGCAAACTGTCCAAGAATGGAACCGATGATGTAGATATTGAAGATGTTCGGCTGCGGTCGTTCTTTGGACAGACCTTCCACGGACTACAAAGCATATTAGCATTCAGTATTTCTTTCATTGGGGGACAGAGAACATACCTTGGCACGCGAGATAGAAAGGAAACAGACACTCATCAGCATACCGCTAATAGTGACCTGGCCATCACCAAACTTGATACCGTCGAGATAGATAACACTCAAACTGTAGGCACTAATCAAACAGTTCAGAGCAAGAATCTTGTACATCTGAATCGTCGCAACAAGAGTACAACGTCCCTGACGGAGAATGTTGGGAATAGCAATAACGTTGGCCAGCTTGCTAGTGAACGGCGCCGCCACGGAAGCATCACCCAGCTTGATAGTCGGAGGCTCGCTCTCATCCATCTCCTGCTCCATCATGGACGTGGTAAGCTTGTCGGCAAATCCAGCGGCCCCCACGGAAGCCTGCTGCTGGCGCTGTTGCTGAGGAGTCATGGATTGCTGCAGAGCCTGCGCTTGCGGAGAAGTGACCGTCTCAACGACATCGGACTGCGCGTTGTTCACGGAAGCGAGAGCGGCAGCACCACGGCGCTGGGTTTCGCGTTCCATGGCCTTCTGGTGGTGCGGGTTGCTGGGACCAGGAGGGTAGAGGTGGGCGATCTGCACAGGAACGGGAGGCGAGGGCTGGTTGAATCGCTGCATCATGCCGACCTGCTTCTCGTAGATTTCCTTCATCTTTGTCGTCCGATAGTGTTCAGCAATCTTGGCGAGATCTTCCGGAGAACCGTTCAGAAGCGCAACACCGACGTGGGCCTGCTTCAAGGCTCCGACATCGTTGGTACCGTCACCGCACATCAGAGTGGTGTAGCCGCCATCCTTGAGACCCAAAAGAATGTCTTCCTTTTGCTTGGGAGAGACACGAGCATAGACCCATGTGTGGCGAAGCAGGTTGACAAAGGCCTTCTGGCCCTTGAACTTGGCCAGGGCGTAACCGGTAATACAAACGTCCTTGGTGTTGAGAATCTCCGGGTCCAGATCTTGAGTAGGGTCAACGTCCTTGTTGAACTTGTCGTCAATGCTTCGCCAGACGAGGCGGGTTCCAGAGAAGTCGTTTTCAGGTGCATCAAGGATCAGAACGTCACGGTCCACAATCTCGACTTGACGCGCAACGTGGACGGCAGTCAGAGGGTTGTCACCAGTGATCATAACGACACGGTGGCTGCTCTCATTCAACATGCGCACGGCCTTGATGGCGTCTTCCTTCAGAGGGCACTGCAAAACAAGGAAACCAGCGAAAGTCAAGTTGGACTCAATCTCGTCTCTGGCGTAGTCGTTGATGCGTCCTTGCGAAAGCTCAGCCTCGGGCGAAAGAGTCTTGCAGGCGAGAGCAAGCACACGGGCACCATTGCGCGTGAAGTACTTGAAGGTTTCTTCGTAGTGCGGGGGCGTCTCAACAAGCATAGTCCGGATAGTCTCAGGCGCACCCTTGACACTCACGAAGGTAGACTTGCTTCTCTTGGACGTCTTCCGGTCGCCGCTGGTAATGGACGTGATGGTGCTCTGGCGCTTCAAGGCAGAAGAGAACTGGAAGCGTCTTTTGACTTGGACTGATTCAACGAAGCTGGTAGGAGAGCCACTAGCTGGGCCAGCCCTGCGAGTAAGAGTATCGTTTCTACCAAGAGTCCAGCCAAGCCATTGCAGAGTAGCCTTTTCCATCGGATCGCCAACAACTTCGCCCTCGTCCAGTTTAACCAGAGCATGAGCGCTAGCAAGAACCAGAGTCGTGTTGATGTCAATGCCGTTGGCCTTGGCCAGTTCCGTTTGCGCTCCATCCGCCTCGGCCTTTGCACCCTCCTGACCCAACTTGAGACCAGCAATACCATCGACAACAAGGTCCTCACCAGTCAAAGTACCGGTCTTGTCAAAGCAAGCAATATCGACACGGCCCGCGAAGGGGATGCGGAAAGGCTCAGTGCAGAAGATAGCGAACTTGCTCAGGGCAGCAAGACTGGTGTTAACAGCAAGACTGAGTTCCATGGGAAGCTCAGGAGGAACAACGCTGGTGATAATCAGGACACAGTCGAGGAGCAGCTTGGACCTCTTGCGATCCCTGGCCACACCCTCCTGCCACACATACCACGAAGCGGCAAGCGCGAAAATCAGCAAGAACAGAATGAAAAGCAGGGCCTCCGCGTTGTTCGCAGAGACACGCTCCGTGGAATAGATCATGGTGCGCACCAGGTTACCCTGGCTCGTCTCGAATCCGGTCTTCACGACAACACCAAGGGCACCATTGTCTGGCGGAGCGGGAATACTAGGCTTCTGCTGCTCTGTGCCCTCAGCACTGGTGTTGGGGTGGGTGATCTGCAAGACCTTGGTTCCTCCGTGAACGAACGCATTCTTGTCCAATCCTTCCGGCTCGATCAGGTCATCAGCGGCTCTGAGCTGGATCGAATCCTTGAGAAGAGGGGTACTTTCACCAGAAAGCATAGCCTCGTTGACGATGGCACTACCCTCAATCAAGAGAATGTCACAGGCAACACCACTGTCTTCCTTGGTCCGGTTGACGGACATCAGATCGCCGGGGAGAAGCTTGTCACTGGTGGTTTCTTGCCATTCCTTGTTACGGTACACCCACACATCATAAGGCTTGATGTTCATGCCCCGGAACTCAGTGAGAGTCCTCTGGCGCTGCCAAACTACGGTACTTTCGAACGCGACCAGCATGAAGAGGGTAAACAGCGAGTAATACCAGTATTCATCCAACATCCACAACCCGACGCAAAAGATCTGGAAGACGAAAAACGGCGCCACCGCATGTTCCTTCCAAAGCTCGACGAAGGTAGGGACCGGAATGTCGAATTTGTTGTCGCCATAGTGTTCCTGAATGCGGTTGATCTCGGTCTCGGTTTCAAAGCCCCGGTTTTGCTGAAAATATTTGACCGCGGGCTTCGGTTCGTCGTCGAGAACGTAGGTCAACGGGGCGAAAGACCGACGGTCCGCGTAGTAAAGGAAACGGCGCTTCTGGAACAAGAACGAAAACGTCTTCTTTCCATCCTTCACTTCGTGAACCAGAGAGCAGATCTCAGCCGAACCAGCGTTGGTGTCCGGGATGACCTTGATAAGCTGCGCGGTATCCAGAGAGTTGGCGCGGGTGGCCGTGAACAACGTCTCGATGTTGATGTTCCATTTCGTCATTAACCAAAGAAGCGACTGGAGCGTGATGATCGTCCCAGACCACACGAAGGTCCATTCCTGACCCTGAATGTACTTGTCGTAGCGCTCAGAGGAGAGGTAGAACGCGAAGAACGCGGGCCAGATTATGAGGAACGGCCACACGTAGGTATGGAGCTGGGTAGGGAGCGGGTTATGAAGCGACGCATATTTGATCTGGGGATCGTCCACGAGTTTCGCCCTGCGTAATAATCAATCAGCAACGGTCTTTTTTATTTTTATTTTTTTCAAACTATTAAGGGCACGGGGGGGAGCACTGACATGATGATATTCGAATGACCATGCGGTCAGACGACTCAGAAGCGAAAGACGGTAAAAAAAGGGGGAAGATAATTAAACAATCATAAGAGAAGAGAATAAATCCATTCAGTCACCAGCAACTTCCCAAAGCTGAAAGAAAGAGTCGCTGTGATGATATCTTCTTCTCTCAAAGAAGCCACCTCATAATTTCCTGCCGGAGGTTTCGCCGCCCAGCCCGGAGCTTGATGACGGCGCGCTCGCTGATTGGCCGAAACCACGTGCCACCACAAACAGATCACGTGACCTATATACAACGAGTATGGATGTAAAAAACACAAAAAGGTACATCGTATGGTCATATATACTCCTGATGTAGCTGTAATAGTCTCTATGCATACAGAAAATTTGTTTTCGCGGCAATTGGTCCATACTGTTTGACAGTTGGACTATTCAGCAACACCCGTATCATGTCACGGACGACGAGAGTCCTAATGGTGCTGTTGCAACCAATCTTCTATTGGTAATTTGACTTAAAGTAAACAGAAACTATGCCAAATTGGATAGATGCCGTTAGGCAAGCATTGATAGCAGGATTAATAGAAAAGAAGTGGTTTCCATTGCCAGTGAATATCTAGATAAACCGCGCAATGGGTATCCTGTAGGGGGATTCACTCTCAGGTTCTTCTTTCTCTTGCCCTCACATTACTTCTTGTACTTATTTCGGAAACGCAACTTCGAATTTGATTACAATAAAACACTTGTTGTTGCTTCGGCCCTGGAATTCTGCACACCTCAAGATATACAGAGATATTCAAGTCCCATGAATGAAATTACAGCATAGTTGAGGAATGACTATAAACCAAGTTCTTGCAGATCCAATCCTGCCGTTGATCTTGATCATCGTGGATCCGGCGACCGCCAGACGCATACACGAGGCCGTCGAAACTTATTATCCAGTGAGTGCCGTCCCCAAGCCGAAAAAGAATTGTCAAGCATAGCATAGTAATATTGACCTGTTACAGTAGTGGAATTCTCGGGTCATCCCAGACCTTTACAAGAAAACAACTCCCGCTTCTGATAAGACGATGATCGACGGTCTCTGGATGAACGCCCTGGGGTCTTATTTCCTCCTCGATGGGTATGCAATTGAAACACAAGTCCACCCAGGGAAGTTTGAACCTCACTATAAGTGCTTTGAATTTATGCACCATTTAACTGAGGACCATGGATGATGTTTAATTCGAACTAAAACATGAAGGGCTCTTTTCCAATCTACTCAAAGCGATTGGCCAAGGAATTACTGACCTCAAGGAATTGCCGAGTGCCTCAGATCCATACCAAGAAAAGAACAATACTATGCGTATCACCAATATCTGGTGACTAAGAGTGGATGGAATTAGTCTACCAGAGACATTACAACTTTGATGCATGTGTTCTATGTATATTTCAGTAAATGCAGTGGCATCCAACTGAATGACAAAACATGCTGGGGGGTTAAGGAGCCTGCGCCTTATTGTCCTCTTTAATTGGAACCTGTTGTTCATCTGGTTTGACATCAGAAGCACTGCCCAAAAATTTGAGTCGAATTTCCAATGCCGTGCAGAGATTCGTGGAAGCCCATGCTGTCGACGGTATGAAAATAGACTTTCTCCAGTGTATCCATCAAAGGCTCACATATTTACCAGACCAACTTCATAACCTCAAGAAAAATATGCCGGCGGGAGTTATCAGGAACCAGGGCTTGGTTACGATCAATCCTATTCTCGGCCAAAGTGTCTGGCATATTTCGCTCAGCAAAGCTACTATTAGGTCAAATATTACACGGTGACTACGTATCCCGGCGTGGATAATCGAGGCGCAAGACGCATTCATGAGGATTAACATAGTATTTACTGGCGAGAGTATGACGGTACATACTATGTCGATCCAGATCGAGCCTTTGGCTGGCATATGTATTATTCTAGGACATCAGGCTAGCCGCCCTTTACTAGGCTCCGTACACGAGAACACAGGGGAGATATCGTTCCGGTAATCGGTCCATAGTCTGCAGAGTCCCGACTGTGATACCCCCAGATTTCTCTCTGGAACCCCTACACCGACACTTGTGCTCTGAAAGTATACCTGCATACGTCAAACCGATGTCTTACTGGCCACGAGAGCAGGCGCAAGCACACACAATATTGGCCTTCTCTGGTTATCATATCCTATACGTCTGACAGATAACGAGACAGAGCCAAAGAGCTGGTCAAAATACATACTTCAGATCTACACCGTACTTCGTGGAGAATAAGGGTTCTCTTTGTTGGGGTCTATGACTGACGTGGCTTGGATGCGGTTTTGCTTGCTACTAACAAAGATGCGGCTATCAGCAATTGAGATCGTAGCGGGGGTTTCTCTTTACCAGTTTAAGTCAGTCTTAATTTCGGGATAATAAATACTGTCTGCTTCCTGTTCTATTCCATCAAGAGCCGTTCCCATACATCCCATCAATATGTCCGGTAAGTCAATACAACCCCCAACCCACACAGCCCCAAACCTACATTACAACACTGAAACCTTCGCCGGATACCGCTGGACCTGTCTCTTCACCCTCGAAGAATCAAACCCCGTTCGCCTCCGAGGACAAGGATTCCTAAACTCCACAGATTGGAACGCCCTTGTCGAGTACGCCTCGCTCAAGCGCAACGGAACGCAATAAAAACTCCTACCTGACATCGGCTCTGGATATAACCACATGGTCCGAATTATCGAGTTCGATGACGGTGTAAGATGGGCGGTGAGGCTTAGTATGCCGCGTCTGCCGTGGAAGGAGGAGGATAGTCCGGAGGAGAAAAGGGCCATGGAGGAATGTGAATATAATATGATTCAACTGGTGTGGAAGGAAAGAAATATCCCGGTTCCGGCTATTTATGGTTTTGACGCGAGCTCTGATAATAAGGTCGGGGCGTCGTTCATGCTTATGGATTGTTTGAGAGGGAATGCCGGGATGGATCTTGGGATGAAGGTTCCGGCTGAGTACAAAACGACCGTCTTTACTAGCATGGCTGAGGTCCACGTATGTTCTTCCCCCCAAATGCGGATGTGAGTGAGCATTTCTGATATTGATATCATCAGGTCGAAATGTCCCAAATCCAACTCCCCAAAATCGGCACGATCACCGGCATAAACCCCGATGGCACATACCAACAAGGCCCCATCCCCGGCCTAGGCGGACCCTTAGATACAGCCACTGACTTCTTCAAAGCCTGGGCAGCCCATGCCTCTGTCGGATCATTTAGACACTTGATCAATGATTTGGCAGACCATTTGTCTATCCGCAACGAAGGTCTATTCCCGCCATGTCACGGCGACTTCGGACACAACAATATGATTTTCGATGATGAGTGGCGGTTACTTGGTGTTATTGATTGGGAGAGTGCATTTGCGGCGCCGTGGGAGATAGCGGCGGAGTTTTCGTTGACACCTACGACGATTCCACGTGCTATGGACGCCCCTTGAAATTATGATGAGAATAGTTATCCGAAGGATGAAGAGAGTCGACAGAATCTTGTGGATCGGGACCAGTATATTAAGATAGTCATGGAGAAGGAAAGGGAGAAGGGATTGACTGAGGGATACACTTTGTCGTCGGCACTGCAGAACTCGAAACGGCAGGATTTGGCGTATGCTATGACACTGTACCAGGGTGGAAAGGCCGGGTTTTTCTCGAAAATGATGGATGCATTCTCCAACTAGAACTTTTGACTTCCATGACCCAATGCCCCAACAATCATGCAGAAATAGCTATCAGAATCAAACCCTCCTCGTCATAAACAACCTCCTAGGCGTAAGCCAAAAATCCTTCCCCCCCCCCCCGCCCCCTGCACCTGCACCTGCGCCTGGTCCATCTCCATCTCACTCCTAGCCTTCATCTCAATCTCATAAATCTTCCACGCCCTCAACGCAAACGTACAAACCGCACCACCCAAAAACACACACCCCACAAAAACCTGCAAACTCAAATACCCAAAACTCCCCACAATCTGCAACGCAATCGGCTCCGCAAACGTCGTCGGCAACACCAATGAAAAACATATCATCCCCAGCGTAGCTGGCATCCTCTGCATCCCGACGACTTCTGCGGTGATGGGGGCGAAGCATGACCAGAATGTTCCGGTGACGGAGCCGCTGAGGAGTGCGAAGGCTATTAGGACGGGGAAGGTTATTGCAGGAACCCAGAGGGCTAGGCAGAGGATGCCGCAGGTGCAGGTCATTACTGAGGCCATGTTTATGCGGCCCAGGACGTCGGAGTAGTAGCCTACTAGGGGGCGGCCGACGTCGAGGCCTAGGTTGAGCATTGCGCCGATGACGGAGCCTTCGCGCGCGGAGAGGCCGATTGAGATGGCGTAGTTGGGGAGGGAGTATAGTAGCGTGATATAGCCTAGTTCTGTGAGGAAGCCCCAGGAGACGACTAGAATGACTTGGATGCGTGCGTATTCGCGGAAGTTGAAGGCTTTTCCTTCTGATTTTGCTGAAGTCGGGCTCTTGCGGTCTTTGAGAAGGGCAGAGCAGATTAGGTTCATTGCGAGAGAGCAGAAAGCTAGGATTCGGTATGTCCATGGTAATCCCACGCTTTCCACGCCAGCCCCAGCTCCCAGGTTATACGCCAAAACGCCTACACCGGCGCCAGATGTGGCTATACCAAGGACGAGGCTACGTCTTTTGGAGAACCATTTCGGAAGAATGGACGTGGCTGTGATGTTACAGGAATCCCATGCCATATCCGAAGCATAGTCCTTGACTTAGAAACAGGTGCCATATTTTAGTTGAGAAGGATGCTCCAATCAGTGAAGCGAATACAAGGATTGAACCGATGAGGAGTGTTGGTCTAGTTCCTAGTTTCCGGTTGGATAGTGAGACGATGGGGGAGACTAGGGGGGCTTGGGATATAGAAAGGCCGCCGATCAGGGCGTATTAAAGTTCTATGGCTTCGGGGAATGTCGAGTTGGAAAGGTAGTGTGCGAGGAAGACGGCCCATGTCTGTATCATCAGCACAAACACATGTAAGAAGCCATTGCCGAGAACTTACACTATTGACACCCCAAGTGTGCGCGTTGATCAGAAACACACACGCAGTGCATCGCCCTGAAACAAGTTGTGTGGAATAAGGCCCTCATCGCTCCGCATACCGGTAGCCATTCCGAAGCTTCAATTGCCGAGACACTTGTCGAGTTTTTTTTCAAGAACAAGCTTCGTTTCAGATACACCATGTTATGAACCCTTTTTTATAGATAGACTTGCAGCCCCACTATAACCATTTTCTCGCCGCATGAGTCAATTGGTGTTCTTTTGAATCGGCGGTTTTTGTTGGCTCGTCGGACCGATCCAAAACATCCCCGAACCAGCGGAGAGTGATTGATCGACGAAGTGCGATTCATGCTTCCGTCAGAGCTATGTGCTCATGACAAAAGTGGAATTGATGAGTTGTAATACAGTGGACGCGGGCGCTGGTTGATGCTCTCAGCTTAGACAATCGACGTATCTCTGGCGTGATTATCGACGGCCGCCCAGTTCTAGATCTCAGATCTAGTGTTTTCCTACAGTTTCAAGTAAACATCGATATCGAAAATACCGCAGTGCACACCCAATTGGAACATCCCGAGAACCTGAAACAAACAAAGATACAATGTGTTACCCATGATACTATACAAAATCCGTCGAAACATAAAAAGACTTTTGAACATTAACCCCCCTCCCCTGATACCCCGGATCATGACCATGACCATGACCATGGCCCTGGCCCTGCGTCGGATTCAATGATTCCTGACTACTCCCTTTGCTCCCATAAGTCGTTATAGCCGTCGCCTGCGCATTATCCGGCACCAGATCCGAGCGCCAATATTGGTTGCTGTTGGGGTCGTTTCGGGATTTGTTGGTTAGGTTGCCGTTCATGCTGGAGAGGGGGATGCTGCCGGTTGTGTGTTTTGCGCCGTAGGTGCGGGCGTAGCTGTCGCCGCGGAACCAGCGGAAGAGAGGGCGGAGGGTGACGAGGGAGCCGGCTGTGATGCCTAGGCCGGCTTCGACGTTGGACCAGATTGAGATGTCGGTTGTTGCGTCTGCGTGGATTAGTATGGGGGATTTCGATGGGCTGTGTCGAGGGACTTACAAAGGAAGTCAGGGTCTTTGTAGTAGTGGAGATATGGGATGCGGACGATGACTGCTGCGCTCGACCTACATCAAGTTAGATACCCTGTGAATTCAGAAAAACAAGAAGACAACTTACACGCAACCCATACTAAGAATACCCGCCAAAGCAGCTTTTGTCTTGGTAGTCATCTGCAGATTCCACACCAACACAATAGGCAAGAGAGCCAGTGTGAAATCGCAAACCGTAGCCACCACACTGTACAGGTAGGCAATATCGATAAGGTAGTCGGTTTCTATACAATTTCCCGTGCCTGTTCTCTCCCAGAAGAACGAAACCGGCGTGCATTGCAAGGTCAATATAAACCAGAAGACGAGTCCGATAACGATGGAAAAGCCGATGACCACCCAGAGGATAATGGTGTGTACTCTTGCGACGGTGAGACGGAGGAGGGCAAGCGCAATTGACACTTTCGCGAGGACGACGACGATAACGTAGGACATTTGACCGAGCCACCACCACTATTTCATGCTGTGTTAGATTGTGATGTTTTCCCTAAGATGTTGCGCAGGACCACTTACAAACATAGCCGTTTGAACTTTCTCCAAATTGTGCACTATGTCCAACTGTTTAAAGGTCTGTCCCATTCCATAGATCGGTCCCATAATTCCACATAATGCAAACAAGATATTCACAACCTGCGAAACAATAAGTATCCAGATTGTAATTTGGTTTCAGTGCCAGTGATCATATACCATCGCAGCAACCATCAACCCATCATCCCACCCAAAGGCCCGTACCAGCCTTAACCGGACGAAACATCGCAGACATACGGCGACAAGCGAAATGACGAGAAATATGATGGTGACGATGAAGATGGACTCACTGCGGCCGGCGAACTCTACCATCTTGAAGGGCGCGAGGGCATCACATGCATTGTATGGAAATCCGTCTAGATTGTTATGACTTCATATGAGAGCCAGACGGATCTCCAAACAATATAAAAGTAAGGATTGAACGAAAAAGAAAGCAAATGTAAATTGACAAAAAAAAAAAAAAAACAAAAAAAAAACAAAAAGAGCGGCTCCAGGAGTCTTATTAGAGACAATCCCCGCTGTCGGAAAGGATTACCAGTGCCTTTTAGGAGCAAACAACCTTTTCTTACAGAGGCCGGACGGGGCCGGTTCCATTCAGGTGGGGATGAGCCCAGAGCTCTAGGTGGTGTTTTTGTTATTTACATAATTCCGGCGCCTTGTCAAGGAGTTATTGATCACTACGTCGGAGTACAGAGTCCGGAGTACTATTCAGACGAACGCCGGAGCATTAACCATAATAAACCCAAATTGATACATGGATCGAGTTGTGTACGTGCTTCGTACATACACATACAAGTACGTATTCATCTCGGACAACCCCAGAAACATGATCCAAGCCTGCAGCCATCCCCCGTGCCTTCACACAACCAACCAACCACATCATGCGACAGCGACAGGCATTTGAAACGCACGTGACGAAACCTTGTCTGACAGCCGACTCATAATAATAATAGAGGCCACGCTAATCCCCATTCAGAGAATGCGCTTGGACCGTTTCGATAAACACAAAAAACCATGTCAAACACAGGAAATATCGCCCACACTAAACCCAAAGGGAACATATAGGCGAGAAGGAACAGCGTCCAAGCGTCGGATCGCAGGGAGATATCTGGCTTGGTCCCCGGGAACCACGGAGCCCGCCGCACGCTAAACTTGACCGGATAGAATATAAATTGCCGAGTGTCCATGGTTGCTTTCTTCGGCCAAGCTGCCGCTTGTATTGGCCAATGAAGGCTTGGTGTTGGTATTTCGATTTTCATCACCGTTCTGTGGAACGTGCTTACTGTATTTGGCCCGATGCCGTGGTTCGCCGCGGTGGTGAACCTCGATTTGTATTTCCTATTAATATTGACTATGGAATTCGTATGCAGGTACAAGTACGCAGTGACGCAGTGAACAAGCACTGGAGTATTAAGCATTGCACTGTTCGCCTTGAGTACAGCCTCCGGAAGTTGATGCGATAATATTCACGCACTCCATCTATTATTAGACTCGAAACCAGCTGCCTAGTCTTGCCACAATACTGTAATTGTAATTACGCTCTAATCATTGATAATCTATCTCATCATATATGGGTACAAGATCGAAAATCAAATCGCCTTCGCCGTACTCTGTACTCTGTATGTATTCATGTATTACATGTAATCCCATAATTTAAGTCCAAAGTACAAAGTCTAAAGTTCAAATTACCGAATCCAAAGTTCAGGGTCCTGTCACTATTACGCCTTCCGTCGACGTTTCAGGAAACTCCTATCGAAGCTCAATCCAAACTCTGAAATGCCGATTGACACCTGCTAAAAGTTTAAAATATTGGCCCTCGTGCTTCATCGTTGGCCGCTGATTGACATTAGTTGGTAATTGGCTTTTGTCACAATCCTTTGATACTGTAGCTCTCAATTTGGCCCGTCTTTTCTCGGCTCTGCGTGCCTTCCATCGCTTCCTTGGCGCTCTAGACAGGGATAGACTATTTGTAGATGTCTGTGGGCATGTCGGTATGTGCCCCGTAAAAAGCTTCCTATGAGTATGCATAATAAATAATGGACCCGCTTATATACTACTAGATCCCCTGTCTAGGACCGTGGCCTTTTCCGATGTTACTTCCGAAACGTTTGCTTTCACGTTGATTTTCTTGACCTAGGATGCATTCATTAAATAAATTGTGTCCGCATGGCTTCTTCGTCGGAAATTGTTAAGGCTATCGATCTTTGTCGTATTATTGGCGCTTCTTTGGCTTTGTGCTCCAGGAATGGACTATTTACGCCAATAACTGAAAGTGATATGCGTAGAACTGGCGTTGTTTTAAAAGATCGACGTCCCGTGGTAGGAATAGGAAGGTGGAAAAGAGTATCAGAGTACTCCGTACTTAACAGATAACCGATGACTTGGACAAAAGAACAATTAGACATATTTTTAGACTTGATCTTCCAAGCCATAGGTTTAGTGGACAGTTAAATCTCAATGTAATGAATCCTGCTTTCACCAATATAGCACAGTCATCACACTTCGATTCTTTTTTTCATATCAATAGTGAGATCCTTCGCTGCAGCGGGTATTCCTATATCACCCGAGTTCATAGTAACTACGAGACTCTGTTCAGTCAACGCGTCAGGCCAAGCCAGTTCAATGATGCCTCGGTGGAAGCCTATCCTGACCTCTTGGGACCGCATGTTTATTCAATGTACAGGGTAGGGACTTTGATACTCTGTTCTCATCGGTTCGTCATCTGATTTCTTCTCTCACAACCTCTACACGAATCTCTTGCAGTTATTCCATAAACATTGCTTACGAGAAAACAGGCGAAGAGAATCACTCTCATACAACATATACCCTGCTTCCACGCGAAAAGTACCCCATAGAGATCAGAACACATGTTCACCCCGAACCTCGGCATCACAAGGATTCCCCAGATCGGCCCGAGACAAACGGGGGATTTACCATCCCCAGAAGAACAATAGACCCAGACTCGGTTCCTCATTCAAGTGCGGGGTGCATGTTCGTTTATTTGATCTACAGATGTACCCCCGGAGTTTCCCTGTCTGCAGAGTATGCGGATCTGGCACAAGGGTGTTGAATGTTATGTGCATTCTGCATAAACAGCATAAACGCGAGCTGCCTAGGAACGGTTGCATTAATTGTGCACGGAAACGCGTCAGGGAGACAGATGCGTGGCTGTGCTGTTTGTAAGTGAGTGGTAGTTGGTGTGGCTTGCATGGCTGTCTGTCACATGCTGTCTTTGCTTGTTGGTTTTGGCAGGTCTTTGAGTGGGTACTTTACTCTGTACTACTACTACTACTACTACTTGTATGCAGTTCTCGACATCATGGGCGAGGCTTTGATAAAACCTCTCCTCTGTTCAGAGTAGCATGAGCACTGCTAGCTTACGAAATCGGACGAAAGAGCAACTGTAAGTCCCTTATCTGGATTGATTCGATTGATTCGTCTGACTGTGCATTGAGAATTGACAAACTGCTATTTACATGAACAATTAACCATCGCTTCGAAATATTATGCTACATATCGGATACGCGAGGTTCGTGTCAACATATTACTCTGGTATTATCGTTTACCACTTGGCCTCCTTGCGGTCCAAGAACTCCTTGAGGATAGCAACCCTCTGCTGAAGGGCCGCCACCTCCGTCTCCAGCGATGACTGCACCTTGGCATTGTCCTCGCCGAGCTTGACGTAAAAGTCCTTCCGGTACGGTGTAGCAGACATGGCAGCGCTGAAGATGGGCTTGACGATGAACGAGTGGTGGGGCTTAAGAGTGTTGCCGTAGGCCTCGCGGAAGGAGTCAGCGAGCTCCTTGCTGGCGTTGTCGAGGTTGTGACGGAGGGCTTGGGCGGTGAAGTCAAGGCCACTGTTGATGACCCAGGTGGTTAGCTCTAACTGCATAGGAGGGGATGGTTGCGATAACACTCACCGGACCAACCAGACCAATCCCTCTGTGGCGGTGTGCTTCTTCTCCTTCAATTCGTTCACGACGAGAGACTGCAGAGTTGCAGACTCGGCGGGAGCAGCCTGCTGCCTGTCCTTGACTTTCTATAACCGGGGTTAGGTGCTGTTATCGTGCAATGCGGGGTGAACTATACGGACCTTGATGTTGCCAACCAGGTCATTCTTGACGGGGGTGAATGCCTTGGAACCGAGGACATCTGACAATTGACAACAGTTAGACTCGATGCATACACATGATCAACGGCCGTTAGCTCACCGAACAAGGTGGTCAGCGACTCAGCAGCCTCAAGGAACTCAGTGGTCGAGATTCCGTTGTCGTTGGCGGCATCAACAGGGACGTCCGCGAAGGACCTCTGGATAGTGTCGAACCAGGTAGACATGATGATTCAAATGGGATGAAAAGTGAGAGAAGCAAACTGTACAGATGAGAGAAGAGAGAATAGGAGTAGGGAATTGACAGTTATCAACACTTGTCACACACACACCGCCTGCTGCGGCCGTGGGACACGCAAGCGGGCGGCCAATCAGGGCCCCAGTGGGGCAACGCAACCCCGTGTTGCAAATAGAGTAAACAGTCCAAACAAGTCAAACAGCTCAGCCACAGCAAACATTACAAACACAGACCAGCCTTGCTGATCATGATGTCATAGTCTAGAATTGAAGAAGGGGCAGATTGGCCCCGTTGGATCTGGGAGATCCCTAAATCTCGGTGCCTGACACTCTGCCAACTGGTCAGGATCTCAAGGAGGAAGAAACAGGACTCAACAGATAGACACGCAATCCTCGTTGTCCTGTCGATGCGTCGTGTCGTTATATTCGCTGCGTTGCTACATTCCAATCCAGTGCCATGAGCACTCAACAGGCCCCTGATCGACCAGATGTGGTTCCTGGCGCCGTGTATCATGAGCAACGCCATGGCCTGGAGCCCGACTCTTACACGAGCAAGAAGCTGGTATGTGATCTTCAATGTGTTTTGCATAGGCATTGGCGCCAAGGGATCTGACGATTTTCTTTTTTTGACACAACCAGCAACATGCTTCTCCCCACCACCTTCACGTGACGAACAGAAGATTCTTCATAGGGCCAATTCCCGAAGGCTGGCTCCAGCATCACAGGAAATCATGGTATAAATCAGGTATTAAGTTCAAGAACTATTCGTCCAAGACCGTTAGCTTCTCCGCGGACCCGGTTGTCGTGCATTACGAGGATGACACCCCCGAAACCGATAACGATCCATCGTCTTCAGGTCCGGAGCAGGAGGACAACCAGAATGGTTCTTGGGAAGACGAAGAGACACCGGAAGACCAGGACGACCAGGACAATGAACCCAATGGACAAGGATCGTCCCGGCGCTCGGAAGAAGTGGACACTACCTCAAGACGGACCGGTAAATCCATGACCACGCCTACCACAGAAACAGGTGCCTCCCCAAGGGAAATGGATTCCAGGAACAAACCAACTAATAATATCCAAGATGCCTCGTCTTATATGACTGCCCGCGAAATTGGAGGAAGTGTAGACGGCCTGGGTGCGGATACCAATGCGAACACAAGCGCGAACACAGGTACGGATACAGGCTTGGACAGGCAGGAGACGGAAGGAATACCACCAGAACAGCCCGTCAAGAAACCCAGCTTGCGAATGTTGCAAGTTCCCAGCACCGGTGAGACTGATCAGTCCAGTCCCATAGCATCCGCAAGCGAGTCCGAGTCAACAACCGCGTTGCTAAGACACAAATCGGGACCCAAAGATAAAGGAATCCAGAGGATAATACAGCCCACCCTTGAGCAACAGGAGCCTCAGAGTGAGGGGACCGACTTGGAAGAGAGTGTCCCCAATGGAAAGGCCATTGGAAAGGGGATAAGAGGCCAGAAAAGGATGGTCAAGTACAGTCTCGATGACAATATCCTGGATAAGCAACAACGGCTTCTTGCGAGGTTATCCAGGACCCACGATAGTATCTCAGCGAATCGACCGCGTCGACGAAAACTGCAAAACGGCGAAATCATCAAGGCGGAACGGATGCTTGTTCGAGTCGAACAGACGATGCAGAGAGACCTTCCCGATGATTACACCGAAAACGACAGCATGCGAATGGAGACACGAGTCGTAGATAAATGGCGAGAATTTCTGGTGGTTTGTCGAATGGCCGACGAAGAGTATGCACCATTTACACTACAGATGTACAAGACCCGGGTCGTACCAGAGGTACAAAAATCAGGCACGAAGATCTCTCCTTATTACGAGGTGTCTCTGGACAACAAGAGAACAAGGGTCAATTTCTATTCTTCATTGGACAAAACTATCGTGATGTGGCGCCCTTCGAAACATGGAACCAAGATTTTCATTGTACGCCCAAAGTCGACAGCACACGCGGTTGAATGGTATACCTTCATGTGCCAGGCACTAGGCCGGGATAGGCCATCTTCCCTTCAGATAACGGTTCCGGATCTCGGCGTCTCTCTCCTCTTCAAAGATCCTTTTGCACAAATCGAAGCCGCCATCAATTCGAAAAATAAGGATCGACAAACAGACAGAAACCAGGCTCATCCTGAAGAATGTAATGTGGCTACAGTAATAATACGCGGCTGTATGGAAATGCTTGAAAATCGAACAGAATGGGCAGATGTATTGCGCGAATGGTCGAAGTCTGAGAAAATGGGTCTTGCTTGGAGACGGTATGACCGACTCGAATGGGTACTTGGTGTCAATGAGGAAAGGATGTATGGATCAATCGGAATGCAGGATACGCATGAACTGGAGTTGCGGCCTAGACAGCACTACTCAACCACCGTCAAGCATGAGGGCACGAAAGAGGATGAGCCACCACCGCTGGAAGGCTTTTTGGTCCGCCTAACATCCCAGAGGGGGGTTCATCAGCGGTTGAACAGAATGTTCTTCAAACGACTTTATTTCTTCACCCAGGATCACTATCTTTTCTTCTGCAGGCCAGCAAAGTCATTACCACCACCTCCCCCAAGGCTGACCTCCACCAATGCGTCGAATATACCGTCATCACAACAGATATTGAACGAAGCACCGCTTTGTTACGACATTGATCCATTCCCATTGCACAACGGCGATATCGGATGGACCTTCAGTGGAAACAAGGAGTACCTGAAAAGGCACGACGAAGAAGCCTATGCGCAGCTTCACAGGAACCTTCACAACATCTGCCACTCTGACGGGTATATTGATCTGTGCCGGGTACAAGAAGTACGACAAGTTCAGCGCAACAGCAGCCCCGCAGATCCAAATATCGAAAGAGGGCCAGATGTCGAGTATAACCCGGATGTCCGAGATACGCACCGGGATGATGGTGCAACAGATCAGTTCGACGACGACAGGACTTTTGAGATGCTGTTAGACAATGATCTCATCATTCGCCTTCAAGCATACAATAAGGACACCAGAGATGAGTGGATAAGGCGGATGAATGCCTTGGTGAAATACTGGAAAGAGCGTACTGCCTCTGATGGAGCTGAGCTGAAAATTGTCCGACAGAAGAACCTAGAGGCGCTTGATATTGATGAAGAGGTTGAGTCGCACATCGGGCAGTTTGCCCTGAAATGGGAAGTCAAGAAGGCAGTGGCATCGCCGCACCTGCATAATATGTGTTCCTTATCCCACTGTCGGACAATCAAGGTATGTCGTCTTCTCTAGTATACCCCCAAGCTTGATACTAACTACCAATTTCAAGATGTCCGGACAACTTTACCGCAAGCCACGCCGGCATGCGACATTCAAACGGTGCAACGTCATTCTCTCCGGTGGAAAGCTTCTCATCTTCCGGAGTTCACTACGAAGCCGCAACGGCGTCGAAATGGCCCACATACACCAAGAACTAGAAACCTCTATAGACCTCAGCGACTGCTATATATACTCAGGCCTACTAACAGACAACGATCTCTTATATGCAAACCAAACCTTCGACAACAGCAACCCAGGCCACCAATCCTTACCACGTGCATACCTCTCCCCCGACGTCTTTACGACCTGCGACGACGACACGGCAATCACATTCGTGATCTGGCAACCTCTTCGAAAGAACTATTTCCGGGCGAAGGAGTATGGGAAGAGAGGGCGGACGAAGCAGACGCTGAAACATGTGTCGACGCTGGGTGTCCATGGGAGAACGATTGTGTTTAAGACGAAGAGTCGGGTGGAGAAGGATCGGTGGGTGTTGAGTATTGCGTCGGAGATTGATAGGATACAAGAGGAGGAGCATGAGAATATTAGGATTGTTTCGGCGGGATAGGATTATTCTTTCTTGGGATATTTATATTTCTGTTCGTGTTACGATACACACTTCAGCATTGTTATAATTTGCCTGGTGCTTTATGATATACCGGGTCTTACTTGATTAATTCACAGTTCTTAGGCAGTCTTCTGGTTCATATAATGTCCTGGTACTACCAATACCACACAGGTGACCATTTCTCCTCCATACTTAGACAGTAAAATACTGAGGATGTCCTCATCGCCTCCTTATCGCCGTAATTATTAATTGGGCATTGGAGAAGGAGCTAAACAGCCCCTTTTCTTCCGAGTCTTTCTGAAAAGATAACCTAAAGACATACAGACATCAACAGTGAACGGAAAGCATCAATTCAAAGTAGCCGTCAAAATGTCACTTCAAGGCAGTCGTGTTATTGGTAAGGGTGTGGTTTCCGAGCACATTGACATGCTAGGGCCGTTGCCAAAGCATTGGTGGTAACGCTGGGAGGAACACGGAGAGTTCTTTGATAAAGATGTGCGTCCAAGAGAAGGGCGGGAGGTATGGCCCGCGCTTGAACAGGCGTTTGAGAAAGATGTGCAGGGCTATCGACGAAAGCTTGGAATGGGGGAGTTTGGGGGGTGGAGGAGGAAACAGGGGCTATTCTCAATCTCATACGTCGGATGCTGGAATTTCAGCCGGAAGAACGGCTGACAATCGAGGAGGTTCTGAGATCTGAATGGATTATTAAATGGGTACTTCCTGGCTTGGAGGGTTGCAGGAGCAGTAAATAGGCTATTTATCAATAAAATTGATTGTATTTATCCCTCCTGTGCCAATCCTGTTATATGTTGGCCTGCAAGAGGAGTATATAGTTTTACATTGTTTAGTATAAATCTTTGGTATTTTCCACTATTCCATGGTCTATGAAAAGGAGCAGCGGCAGTATCTGTTTACATGCAAATGTGTTATGATTATTAAAAAGAAGAATTAAAACGAAGTACGAAGTTCAGGATATTTCATCCTGTTCGCAAAGAACGAAAAACACTGGAAGACAGAGAAACAAAACAGAACCACACAAGATATAGATAGGCCTGGAATCAAAAGACCATCCCATCAAACCAACCAAACCTAATGTGCGCAAAAGAAGCTATCTGCAGATGTAACGTTTCCAGTACCCCTGTACTGTACACGTTGTGGGTAAGGGCAAAGGATCCTATCGAATTTCTTTCCTTTCTCCGGATTATAGCTGACTGGAAGGCTTTCAGGCGCAGTACCGGATTCGACCCAGGCAACCAGGCTGTCGAACATAGTAGACGGGTACCCTCCCTGGCTACCATAGCAATGACCCATCATCGGGGCCTCGAAGAGCCGATAGTAGTCGTGAACACCAGAGTCGTCAGCCGTGACCGCTTCATAGTACGCTCTGATGCCCTTGGGAGGAATGACCTCATCCATCTATATAAAAAGTCAGCATCAATTAGTAGTGGTGCGGGATAAACTATATGGCACATACCAAGCCTTGATAGGTGAGCATCTTGCCGCCCGCCTCGCGGAATTGCGACAAATCGGGGTTGTTGGATCCGAAGACCTGGTTCCATTGCTGCACCGACTTCCGGAAGAGGTATTCATATTGCGGATGTGTGATGTTCGTCAGCGTGAAGTTGAGGTTCTGCTCAACAAACACTTGGGCCCATTGGTCATACAACTGGGTCGAGGAGGGAGCACATGTTCCGTTGGCGCATTCCGTCGTCGCCGGGTTGTTTGCTCCCGTCAGCGCGGTTCCAGGGTTGAAGCCATACCACAGGAATCTACCCTGGGTATCGCGCGACCCGGTCCAAGTAGAGTTGACGACCTCGGCAGCAGCAGATGAGATTCGGACGAGAGACTTGGTGTCACTGCAGTTGACCGGGTTTCCGACAAGGGTGAACGGGTCGAAGACACACGAATCAGGGTCAGAGAGGATACCATCCTTGACGCCATCGGCACCATCGCAGGCGGAGACTGCCGCAGCCGTTATGGCGTTGATTTGACAAGGGTACGGATACTCGTCCAGCTGATTCATGACAAACTGAGCCCAGTATCCGCCCAGCGTGAGCTGCGGCCAATTGGTTGCTGGAGCGGAAGCAACAATGCCATCATACGCGTCTGGATACCGCTGCGCCAGCTCCAGCCCCTGTCGCCCACCCTGCGAGCACCCAGTCCAGTATGAATACTTGGGCTTGGACCCGTACGCACTCTCCGCCACGCTCTTGCCGATCAGCGCTGCGTCGCTCAGGGATACGGAGCCAAAATTATGGATCGTCTCGTAGTCCAGCGTTCCATCGGCCAGCAGCGCCCAGTCTGCTGGGCTATCGCTTGTGTGACCCCCATCTGTTGTGACAGCGGCGTATCCCTGCGCTGCCGCCGCCATCATACCGTATGATGTCGTGGTCGTGAGCCCGGCTATGTATCCGTTACCACCCAGTCCCTGCATTCGCCCGTTCCACGAGTCGCTGGGCAGAAAGATGCCCACGTTGATGGTGTCGTTCTTGGCCGTGTGCTTGTAGGTCACGGTTATGTTGCAAAAGTTGAGGTTTTCGGCCATCACGTTGCCATGGTTGTAGTAGTACCACTCGGGGATGTACTTTGATACATTGGAGACCTGCGCGGCGTGGATTGATGATACCTCGATGTTGGGTATCGAGGGGTGTGAGAAGGCATCGGCCGAGCACAATGCTGGGGATAGACTGTTGTTCATGATGACGAATGTCAGACTTGTCTAGAAGAAAGGAATAAGGAATGGAAGTTCATCCTATAAGTACTTTGTCTGTCATTATGCATGCTGCTATTTTTGATTCTCGGGTCAAATACGCGTATAGAATTGATCCCTTATCTAATTGATGCTTGGCCTGTTCTCAAAGCGAATACGAGTATTCGGGAACGAGTGGGTCGGGCGGACCTTACGCCCATGGTTCATACATAATAATGTTTTCATTTGCAGGTATCAATATTTCCACCTAGCAACAAGGAGTCCTTTCTTCGTATGGATGTGTTTCAACTGTTTCAACTAGCGTGGCAATTTCAGGTGGTTTCTTCAGGGTGAATAAATGAAAACCCTAAGTCCTCTAAGCGTGCTGCTCGAAATATACGTGAGTCTGCAAATTATTCAGAATGGTTCTATTACCTCCAGGGCACCATGACCCAACTTGCTTCATTGATTGCTATTTAGTTATAAGATTATCTAACCATATTGCCTTTGAGTGCTCATTTGTTTGATAGTATCCCGTAGCCTTAGGTGGAAAGCTCTAGAGAATACTTATGGGACTTTCCAGGTTGATAAAAGAGCCTACTGACTCTACTGTCCAGCATTCGAAACGAGGTGGAAAGAAATTAAAATATACATTTTGAAATCAAGTACGCCAAATCGAGCGACAAGGCCTGGTCTATATAGCAACAAAGAAAAAAAAAAAAAAAAAAAAAAAAAAGGAACCGGCGACAAGTATCATACCGGCAAGTAACTCTGAGTAAGCGGTATGCTTGCCTCAGGATTAGCATCAAGACTCATTTGATTAGGATACCAGATCAAGAAAATAACCATGACAACCACCATCGGCACACTGTCAAAGACATACATAGTCCACTCATGAACAAGCGGATACCCATCATTTCCCATGACATACTCGACGATACGGAATGTCGAACGTACCAGAATCAGCGCACTGACAGCGTACAACATGTGCAACGACCGCACCCAGGGAATTCCAGGCTTCGTAGACTCCGGGGTGGGCGAGCGCCGGAGCCGTCTCGCAAACACAATGGCCGTCACCCAGAAAAGCGAAAACGAAACGAGCTGGATGGCCAAGCCGACAACCACGAGCACCTTTCCCCACTGAGCGTATCCGAGCACAGAGAGCGACGAGGAATTGCCCTGCACGACAAAGGACAGCACATCACCCCAGACAAACGTCTTTGTTAGGCGTGTCACTCGTATAGGTGAGAGGTGCTCTCCTCGGACCCGCCGGATCAGCCGGCCCAGCGTCATGTAGATCGAAGCGGCGAAGAGCGTGGGGCCGAGCAGGATGAATATGTTGGCGATGATGTACGGTCCCATGGTTGTGGTGCTGTTATGCGCCAGGCAGCGGCCGATGTAGCCGATTATTTCGACTGGGCCGATGGGTTAGCTTCTTTGTGGGAACTCGAGTAGATCGAAGTCAGTAGGCTTACATAGGCCCCCCAGGGTGAATGCTATGCAAAACCATGTTCTTGTCGTGAACAACTTCCATGAATGCAGCCCGGTGAGGACGATGAACATGAGCATGAATATGACTGCCGCTGGTATTGATGGAGCATAGTTCCAGAATTCATAAGCACGAGACTCGAGGTGATTCATGTCGCGAGGGTTTTGTCCGAAAGGATAATATCAAGTTCGGACAAGACAAGACTACAAATAAGAGAGTATGTGGCTATATAAAGTAAAGCTTTTCGCACGTTAAATATAAAAGGCATTATTTTTATTTTCATCTTGTGTTGGTCGATCTAGTCTCTATATCAAAATACGCGTATAAACCGGACCCACATCCAGTGGATCTTGGGATCATTTCTATACGCGTATAGAATCAAGCCTCCTTGCCACATAAAAGTGGCACTCATTCAAAATCTTACGCCCTGGCAGACACGATCGATAAGAAAAAGGGGTTTGTTTATCTATTTCTATCTGCTAAGCCCCATCCGTTCCCTTAGTTTTAACGAAAGATGCCTCATCGACGGATATTTTCAAGTTGGAGATGAGCGAGGCAGGTGACGGACGGGTTTTCGTAGACGCTAATTCGTGCCTCTGCAAGACTCTATCGAGGTTGCTGGAGTACCAGGCGGAAATTCCAACCATCAGGCTCCGCCTCAACGTCGTTGTTCAAATAGTCGGCAGCCGTGGAGATGTGCAGTCTTTTATTGCCTTGGTCACGGAGCTCCAGAACTGCGGCCACAGAGTGCGCTTGAACGCATGATGTCTTTAAAGACATTGTCCGGGATTCCGGCCTGGAGTTCTATCCCATCGGCGGTGATCCGGCCGATCTTATGGCATGCATGGTTAAGAACCCTGGTCTGATCCTGAGTATGCTAAACCTCCGCGCGGGTGATATCCAAAGGAAGCGCGTGATGATGGCAGCAGTGCTTTCAAGGGCCTGCAACAGTATCTTACAATGACATATATGTCTGATTTTCCAGAATCTATGCAGATGGGCGAGTCTCAACAGTGTAGATGACAGTGTAGAGCGTTGGAAGAGAGAATTCTATGGTTAGTACAGTCAGGGGACTGCAGACCGAGCATAAAAGTCAATATCCAGGAAGATATTTTTTTGGCTATGCTGCTCCGGCGTGATATTTATCCTTCTCAGAAGAGCCGCTGTACGGGTCAAAGATTATAGGGTAAAGTCAGCTTTGCTGGTCTCACTCGTTGCTTTGTCGCGGATCTCCAATGCCATTTTTTTTATTCACTTTCTCAGAAATTCCCCAAACTGGGATGACGCTTTTGGTCCCCAGAGAACGCTCTCGGACCTTTGAAGTTTTAGGGCAATGTATATGGCACCCAAAGTCTCAATTTGTAAGGTCAGTGCAACAAACGGTAAACAGCAGGTACTGTGTTTATTTGCATGTGTGCGTCTTGCGCCTCTTGACGCAAATCATCCATGCTGGAATACGCCCGTAGCCATGGTAAATCCCAATAGAGATTTCACAAACGACATCTAGAAAGATAAACTTGATCGTAATCAAACCTAGCACGTTAGTCTCGGAGCAGGAATTGGTCTAATAAATCTGTGAGCTTCTGCTGGATACACCGGAGTCACTTACAGATGATTATATTGCCGACGGCATCACCATGCTGCTCAATCGAGTCTCCCTTCTCCATCTGGGTAAATCCCATAGCTATGAACTTTGGCAGAACTGTAAACATGTCTTTGAAGGTTGGGTCTTGACTGAAAACCTTGGTTACCCCAGTCCGACACCACCCAAAATGTCTGCAAGGGTCAGTATGTTTCAACAGCCGTTGAATGTTGTTCCTTCTGGCACCTTCGCTAGTAGTTGGGAGGTTGCATTTTGCTGATTATGCTCATAATGAGTCAGAATAAGCATCCTTTTTATAGAGGACCACTCTGTGTAGTCATCGCAGTCAAATTTGATAGGCATAACTAGTAAAAAAGCATCTGGATTAGATATTCTGGCTCTCCTGGTGCCAGGTATGCGTGAAATACTACAATCGAGTAGTAACATGCTGAAACGACAACAAGGGTAGTCCTCCTTCTCCATAGTGGTTTAGTAAGAGGAGATAGTAATGGATCATATATGAGTCTGTTACCAGACCGTATATCTTCGTCATTACGATCATACCTGTTCTGTATAGCGTGTCTGATAAAATAGCCGAGTATGGCCGCTGGGACGCCTATGGTTTCTTAAGGTGTTTCGAGTACGCCTCAATCTATTGTCAATTTGTTCTGACATCATTTCATCGAACACAATATGTTGGGGAAAATCGATGGTAAGAGTCGAGGCCAAGAACATATCTTCCACGCTCTTCCTATTGCACTGGTGTAGAAAAAAGGACCAGCAGTTCTCTTCCTGCAGGCCCAACGACCCTAACGTTCCATGGAGAAGGAAAGAGTGGAAACAAAAAATAAAACTGAAAGAAAAACGAAAAGCAAAGGGAGGATAACTTGTAGGAGTAATACTAGTGGGCTCCTTTGCGTGTCTTCTTTTGAAAGATCCCGATCATCATCGCTTTACCTTTCATTCACATGGCTGCTATACAGCGACGATGCCACTGCTTTTCGACCATCTCCCAATTTGGTAGATGACAGTCAATCGGATCGTCGGTAGTTAGTCTGATGCTACAACCTCTTTGGAGCATCGGGTTCGGTCAAACAGCTCCAGACCTTTAGATCAGCCACGTTCCAAGTCAACCGTGGCACGCTGGTGATATTGCCGTGAAAGGTTCTCCTCGCCTTACGATTTTTCTCTCGTTTGCGTCCTTTTGTCGATTTGTAGCAGACCAGATTTCACGAATTTAATACCAGGCTTATTACTTAAAAGATGTGGCCACCAGGCATTTTTCGAGCTCTGGTGGTATTCCGAGGGAGGCTCTAGAGTCGAGCCGGCAACCAGGTGCCAGAAGCGTGGGCGGCGGTTAGAGCTAGCCCTTGAGTTTTCATTGGCGATATGACGGAGATGGACCCTTAAGGTGTGCTTTCTCTATCTTTTTTGATCTGATAATTTATGGACACCCATTCTAATCCAGGCGCCACGCATATGTCACCCGTGTTCATATGGGCCAGCTTTGTTTTATACCACAAAAGGCCGGGATCGTTCTCAATTAGCTGATGCGTCTTGCACCTTTTGACGCATGTCATCCACGTTTGGAACGAAGCGCGTATAGGGCGCCATCCACCGGGAGAACAGGCTTCTGTGAGATGCACTTACTAGGTGTCTAACCTTCTCGGCAACATGGTAGAGAAGGTGACAAAGGGTTGCTTTGCTCACCAGCATTTTGTATTCCCCTCTTAGCATTAAAGCATTTAGTTTCTTTGGCATGTTGACGGGCCTTTTTCCGCTCTTTATTAAAGCTTCCTCGGGAACCAACAGTTTTAATGCCCATCCTCCAAAATGACTTAGCTCTGAGGTGATGCCACTACAGTGATCGGAGGGCCGAGCAATTTGCGGATTCTCGCAATTGGTGAGTGTTATAGCCGCCCGGGTCGTGGGTCCCAGCAATCATGGTACGGATACTTATATTAGTGTCCTCTAAGGCTGCGTCTCTTTCTGGCTACCGCTAGTACTCTCGTACCTTGTTGATAGACGAACTGATTCCTTGATGAAGGTGATTTTGTACGTCCATTCTTGTTTCGCAGGCCTATCCAAGAACACGAACAGCTTCACCAAATGCAAGCCATAAAGACAGATGATGCGCTCATGGATCTGGCTTGAATTTGGTAAAAGTCAGTGGTAATATCCCGCCGTGGTATAAGTTTGTAAAATTCCATGCATAGTAGCGGTCTCCGTCATGTAAAACCTGTCGTGAGGTTTTCATAGAAAAAGGAGATCTGAAACTTCCCTCGCGATGGTTCTCATGAACCCCGTCGAGTACTTTCACTCCAATTGGTGAAGTTTCCCTTTCTCATGTACAGTGATGTCACGCTGCTATTAGATGACAAAAGCTAGGGCGCCTATTGTCTCGCGCCATCCGCTTATTTGTGGGGTTTCGATCATTCGCACCACGTAGTAGAAGCGTTCTCAATGCTGACTTGGTTTGGACCGGCTAGATCAGCCCCATATATGATCGGGGAAGGCGGGATATTGTAATCCGGGTCGTTTCGACGAGTACTGTTTTATATATGCTTCGGTCATAAGTGTAAAATAGCACTGGTTTTCTGGTCTAGCACGAAATTGCAAACTTGTGCTTTCAATTTGGAAAGGTTTGGTAACTTGTCAAGCCAGTGATAGATCGAGATCAACGAACAAAGTAGACCGACGGTTATTGGTGGAAGTATTCTGAGAAGCTTTCTTTAGAAGATTGCATTAGCCCTGAGTCGTTCCAATCGTATATTGTCCATTGAGCTAGTTGACGTGACACTCGTGAACTTCAGCTGGCACGATGCATAGACGAAAAAGCCTGTATAAAAGTCGGGTCGAGAATACAAACTCGCCCCCTGCTTTATTATCGGATATGCTAAATCTCTGCAAACATTGTTGGTTGCTGATGGTAGTGGGTGGCGATGGGGGTGCGGGATATACTCGACGAGGTCATCATGATGGGGCCAGTAAAAAGCGCCAGAGTTCTTTAAAGCAAAGTCAGATAGCTTGTATCAAGAATATCATCTGGCTCTATCAAAAATAGCGTAGAATCCCAAGACAGAAGCAGCAACTGTCATTGCAATCAAGCTGGTATCTTGCTGGTCGATTTCCTGATATTTATGAGCTGGGGGGCCCAATACAAAAAGATGAATGAAGTGAATGTCTTTCTGTCCTGTTTCACATTAAGGCAGTGAATACTTGCCTGGTGTTGTTGGTGTCAATTGACACTACATTTGTCTGGTGAATTCCCAGCTCCCCACCTCTTTCTCTTATACATCCTCTCCCTCTTCCTCCCCATCACCAACCACCCACCACAATGTTCAAAGTCAAGGAATTCGACCAGCTCGAACGCTTCAACGCGATAACCAACCTGAGCAATACTCTGAGTCTCGCCGTCACGAACACCCCAGCCTGGCTGTGCCTGTGGTTCACTGATCTCGCCTGCATCCGCCAGCTCACTGAAGCAGCGAAAGATGGCATCAACCGCGCGATTATTCGGGAGATTTTTGACGCTGATAGCAAGGTTATGAGTGATATGCTGAGAGCTTGTAAGTATTTCCATCACAGCTTGTCGGGGTGTTTGCTTACTCTGGTCTTAGGGATGGACTGCGAGGAATCTCCGTTGCGTTCTTATCCCGCGGACAGCGACGACGATAGCTCTGAGACGTCGACTGTCGAAGTTGATGATGGAGAAGCGATGGTTATTGTCCCCTTGCTCTTATCCTGAGATAGCAGACTAACGCGTACAGACCCTCCAACGTGACAAAACCACCTGTCCCTTCACCAAATCCAACGAAGTCCGCAACGTAACCTCAATCTACCCCCGCGCCCTCAGCGAAAAGCCTGTCCACGACGAAGACCGCTTCTGGAACAGACTCCGCATCTTCTGGTCCGAGGAAAAGGTCAACGCCTGGCGAGACGCGTCCCGCAACAAAGACTCATGCCGCAACTTGCTTACCATGGAGACCCACGTCGCTCAGTACTGGGACACGGCGCAGATGGCACTGAAGCCCGTGGACAAGAGCGACGATGGAACTTCGTTGACCGTTGAGGTGTACTGGATGCCGACTACGTCTTATGGCTATAGTACGGCTATGTGTTCTCGTCCTGAACTGAAGCATACGGGTAGTAAAGACGCGCAGGTAGAGTTGTGGGATCCTGTTGGTAAGAAGAAGATGGAGTCGGGTCATAGGGTTACTTTTGAGACGGACAATCCGGAGAAGTATCCGCTTCCGGCGTGGGAATTGTTGGAGATGCGGTGGGATTTGAATCGGATTGCGAAACTTGCTGGTGTGGTTGAGATGTATGGCCGTGATGATTACGAGAGTGAAGAGGGTGAGAGCAGTGACGAGGAGGATGAGGTTGAGGATGAGATTGAGTATAATGATGATTCAGATGATTCGGAGGAGGGCGACGACAACGGAGAGGGAGGTGGAATCTCGGTTATGGGATTTTCCCCCGGACTGGGCCACTTTCTCCCTTTGAGGCGCCCTGGAACGGATGGCAAGTTGTTTGAGGTGGATGAGGAGAAGTTGAAGGAGTGGGAGGAGAATGAGAAAGAGGATGGTGGCCCTGAGCCCGAACCACGCGATTGAGCGATATTACTGCATACTTGCTATGCTACGACCGAGATGATAAGATTGTATTGCTATCGTTATTTAATCTAATATGATGCCATACCCACGACAATTCCATTCTTCACTCCGTACTCCGTACACCGTACACCTCGAGTCTCCCACTTAACCCTATGCATACCCCATACTTCACCCCACATTAGGAAACACTCCTTGCAAACACAGCATCTTCTTACTGTGCATGGTACATTCTCTGCAGGACAGACAACGGCAAGTATGGACGACTGCAAGGGCCCTCCCCCATACCCATAAGTACGTGATAAACTCTAAGCCCTAACATACGAGATCATATTGCAACCATTAGATCTGATCTCCTGATCTCTCTGCCCTATTACTCCCTGCAGCGTGCATACTTGTACATACATAGTTAACTAAGTTAACTACTGGTAACTATTAGCTGACTAATAATACACAGCAATACATACAATACATACAATACATACAATACATACAATACATACAATACATACAATACATACATACATACTCCGTACATACCACGACCGATCTCAGATCAATCTCAATCTCACTAACGCACGCCAACCCCTTAGCGCCAACCTTCTGGGGATCGATTTTTCAGCTCCTTCACTCCAGCATGTAGCGTAGCCTCAGCTGAATATGTACTCAATATCGGGGTCTCCATGTGCAGCTTTCCTTTACTTTACTTTACTTTACTTTACAGTAAATCGCATCCGATCAGATCAACATCCTCCACTTCTCAGCAAGCAATTGAATACTTTACTTGTAAGGAAGTAGAAGGTTACGGCGTACGCCGAGACGCGAACGGCGGAGAAAGCGAGAAAGCGAAAGCGAGACGGGTCGCGGTTATGGGTCCCAACCAATAGGGGGTAAGTGCTTAGCGCGGGTGGGGGTAGATCGGCGAACCAGAGATCGATACTCTGTACGGAGTATGATACACGGGGTATACTATACAAGTACGGTGCTTTGTACTCTGTACAATGGTGATATTCATGTTGTACAGAGTAAGAAAATGAGAAATGCAAATACTGAAACAAGCTGGACCCCTCGTGTTCATCTATGCGCGTTCCTCTCACTAGTTCGCCAAGTGGGGTTTATACTCTCACCCATATCCATACATACTCCGTACATGGATGCATGCCAGCTGTCTCAGATGATACAAGCACTCGTACTTACATTTGTCTGTACTTTATCGGTGTGTATGGAGTACTTGTACGAAATAGTGTATGCATTAAGGGGTGTGTATCTACAACGGATCTGACATGTACGAAGTACCTACATACTCGAGGTGAATTGAACAGTGAGGATGAGGTGTTTACGCATACGGCAGCAGTTCTGTGTGTGTATGTACTTGTACCTGATCCAGATCCTATGGTTCAGATCCCGTACCAAGGGAATGGCACGATTGAAGAGAACTCTCGCCAATCGAGTCCAGTAACCAAGATTCGATTCGCAATTATATACATCCGTGAGATCCCGTACACCACTCCATACACAGTACAAGTACGAAGTAGAAAAAAAGAACAGCTACCGAAGGATCATCTGACCAATGAACCACCGATGTCTCGGATTAGATCAATCATCGATCAATCGGATCTTCCGTCCATAGACAGGTACACGAATTCCAAATCGGCACACATCCCCAATCTCCAACCATGGTTCAAGAAACTTAGTTCCACCATTTACTAGAGCAACTCCGCGACTAGCGAATCCATTCCCATGATCGCGGAAATGCTAGAAGCTAGAAGCTATAATCACTAGATCTTCCTTCAGTACGTGTACAAGTATCCGTACAGATGTACAGATGTGCGGTGCAGGACTCTGCACAGACACGCGCTAAATTCATTCGGTGTGACTGGGTATTTGTCATGCCCTGCGCTGCCCTGCTTTGCCCCGTCCGTTAGCGTTGGCGTTGGCGTTGGCGGAATGCGGAATTCAGATTCAATTCAAATCAAATCATGGAAAATCATGCCCGGGTGGGTTTCTATTCTAGCTGATCAGATACATGCGTGTATACGTACTTGTATGTACTTACATGGTGCATAGATCCGAATCCGAATCCGAATCCGAATCCTCAGCCTCGTCTTATCCTCGTCTCGTCACACTATTAATGCATATGGACTATGTTGTTTTGAGTTCCGTACTTGTGTGTACGGAATACTGTCGATGGATGGATGGTAAGATCGCTAGATCTCGGTCATCGCATCTCATCTCATCTCATCTCATCTCATCTCATCGCATAAACCAAGATGACCGGGATTCCCCATGAATGATTCCCCATGAATGGCAGTCTATACGTATACGCTTCCGTCCTGTTCCGTAGATTGATTCAGATTCGAACTCGATTCGATTGTTTTCGATAATTTCCCGAATCTTCCCCGAGGCCATGTCATACGTGTACGAGGGCAGTGCAGTGTACGGAGAAGTACTTGTGTCGAGGCATTAACGAGGCGCAGGCGCATGCCCTTCCTATCTAATCCTATCTTTACAAATACCCCGTAATAATAGAATCCGCGTGCGGAATGACATGACACACAATTCCAAATCAAATCGCGATGCGCTTCGATCGTATCCGCATCCGCATCCGCTCGATTCGATTCGATCGACCTGATCCAAGTTGTCGGGTCGGTGGGTACTTGTACTACGTACGTAGTGTTATGTGTAGTGTAGTGTTACTTGGGTATTCTGGAGAACCCCTGGGTTCGCTAGTATTGTGTACTGTAGTTTGCAGAGATAACGAAGATTCAAATTGTAGGTGAGTGTACTCCGTAGGTAAAGTAGGTGTAGATGTATGCATAGTCGATCCTCTACTCGATACTCGATTCGATACTGCTGTACAGATACTCCATAGAAACGTGCACACCACAATGTATCATAACGAACCATTCCACCCCATGATTGACATACCCAGATCCACTCCACTCCAACCCCAACCCCAACTTAATCAACCCAATTCCAGTCCCAATCCCAATCCCAATCCCAACCAATAAATGAAATCCCAACGAACCGAAACCCAAACTTCAACCTTCACTTCAAATCCCGAGATCTGCTGGCTGTGTTGTTAAGTCCGTGGCTAAGTCTGTATGGAATACGGTTTAAATGATTAATTGATTGATTGATTGATTGAATCATTATGCGAGATTTGTTGAGAGCAGATCAGATGAGATGAGATGAGATCTTAATTCTTAGTTTGTTCCAGTCCTTGCTAGTCACTATTTACTAATCAATAATATGTTCATACAATTAAAGATACGGTATACAACGCGATGCGATGCATTTCCATGCAGGGATTTGTGTTCAATACTACCTCATACCTAACTAGGTACAAACCTACACCTAACTCTGAACGCATATCCACCACGGCAAGAGCGAACTGCCGCGATCGACAACAGTAGATCACATCTGCGTCTACCGCGCACCGCGTGCACTGAGTCATGCTCGTTTCAGAAGTTAATCACCCGCCAGGGACACGTGTAGAATACGTATCTACATTCTTTAGAGTTTACAGGGTACTTTATAGGGTATGGTGGTAGCATCGTAGCATGTAGCATGTAAATCAACCCAACCGTATATCACAATTGACAAGCGATTCTATCGGATGCCTTCCCAACAACGCGCGAGGGTATTAAACTAAGTCCATGAGAACAGAAGCAGAAGCAGAAGCAGAAGCAAAACCAGACCACATCCACATGCTGCATCATAACAACCTCCTGCCGTAGCCCAAAAAATAATAATAATAAAGAACAAAAAGTGACTCCGTGTCGTTTCATAAGGGTAATGGGTAATGGTGCAGTGCAAAGTATTCCAAAAAAAAAAAAAAAAAAAAAAGCACAAAAAAAAAAAAAGAAAAGAAAAGAAAAGAAAAGAAAAGAAAAAGATAAACGCCATCTAATCCCAACCTTTTCAAACGCCGATTAAATCAACAGAGAATGAATTAGTTAGGCGATGCTGACCCCAGTGGGGTCTTGGGCTTCAGATTCGATCCCAATGCTGACGCCTTATTCGCGCCCATCTTGCGAGTCAGTTTGGCATAGTGTAGTCCGCAGGCATTGCAGAGTGTTCGGGCACCGTCAGGGCCTCGTCGCCATTCTGGGGTTTCCGCTCGGTTGCAGCTGTGGCAACGTCCAGGAGGTGCAGCTTTCTAGTATCGTTAGCATTGTGCAAAAAATAGAAAGTAGAAAAGAACGTACCCCTCGCCGCTTCTTGGCTTCCGCACCAGCGAATCCCCCGCTGCCCTTGAATTCCTCCTGGTACATTGCCATCTCTTCGTCAACCCCACTGGCTTTGTAGGCCTTCCGTTGTGCCATTTGTTCGGCCATGGCGTGTTCTTGAGTAAGAACCGCGTGACGTATCCGCAGCAACGCTTCTTGGTTTTGACGCTGGACATTAATCATTTCCTCAACTTCGTGCAATGATGGAAGCGATCCCATCACCGGTCCCGATCGCTGTGTTTGGTGGGCTCTCGTAGCGTAGTGTCTCGAGAAATCCAAAGTTCGGGTGCTCATATCGGTGATCTGTTTTATTAGCTTTGCCATTCCACTGACTCAACTGGGGAAAGATACACACCTCGTTAAGAGAAGCTTCCACGTCGTAAACTTCCAAGTGTCGCTTCATCGAGTCACCATGGCCTGGAAGTGGCGAACGAGTATACCCACTCTTGATTTCCTCCACTCGTACAGGCTCCGGTGCACCCTGTTTCCATGCGCCGTAACGAGCGTCGTAGTGAGAAGGATAGGATGGAGCGGTCGGCTGTGATTGGAACGAGAACGACTGCGAATACGGAGGTGCATACCCACTGGGCGACCCAATACCCCCCGCGGATGGCGGTGCACTGTATTCATATGTCGAATTCGTGGTAATGCCAGTCTTCGCACTCTGTGTTGGGGATCTGCCCGAATTAAACGAATGAAGAGATGCAGTTCTGGAATCCTGAGTGTTGATGGACGTCAGGCTCGACCGTGATGCCTCTGCCTGCAATTGTTGGTGATGCTGATGCGAAAAGGAGAATGGGTTTGGTGGCCCTGTCGGTGCCTCTGTCCCCGACCGCGTGAATCCTGGCGATGTCGAGTGCGGCGGTGCCTGTGAGGGATGGACTTGTTGGGCGGGTGCGGATGTAGGCGGACCGCCATACGAGAGCGGATTGTCATTCCCTAATGCCTCATGGATCGAGGGAAGCGACTGCCGTTGCGGCTGAATCTGTCTCTCCTTCTCTTCCTCCAATGCGCGACGCGACTCCGGTGGGGAGATGTAGCCTGACGGAAGCGAACCGTTGCTAGCGGTCGGAGTGGTGTAGGGATAGGACGGTGGTTGTGACGAGTACATGATCGGTGGACTGATGAGAGGAGCAGGAGAAGAAACACTGCCTGCGATGACAGGATGTTTTGCGTCTTTACCGAGAAAACCAATAGCTGGCAGATGATCCCTGGAACGGGCGAAGGTCGATCGTTAGCTAATCATCCAAATTTAGACAGCGGTTGCCACGCCGCATTTAACTCGGATATGAAGGGAGCAAGACCCAGAAGAAAAACAAAAGACGGTGACAGGAAAGAGACTATGGACACAGTGGGTCGGGGAGAAAAGGAACCCCCCCCCC